ACCTCAACGCAGTCAGCGCACCCTAAAGCCCTAATAAAGAAACGCCCCACCCAGAGCTTCTGGATTCTCGTTCCAGGCCACCGTTCCTTCACCCTAGCCCACCGCCACGCTCCCTCGCCTCAGCCCTCCGTTCCCAGTTTGACGAGCGTTTGGGCCTTAGTTAAGCCTTGCTGTAGGCTAACTGTATAAACCTATCGAGACAGCCTGTCTCGGTGAGCTTAGTTGGCGAACTACTGCCTTGGGGAGGGTTTGTGGCGGATCGCTGTCCCAATAGGTTTAGATGCGACCGACTGTCTCTGAATGTTTGAGCGGTCTCCTCCCGCTGTGAGCTAGTTTCAGTTGATATCTGTCTCAGAAATACTTTTTAAAGGAAGGTTAAACGGAAATCGAACGTAAAATGAACAGAGGAAATGGTAACGAGTTACCTCATTGAAGAATATCGCTCGCCTACTTCAAAAGGTTTGGCACCGTTCTTCAACATCTGATATGCGATCGGGTTATGGCACAACTTTTCCCATTGGAGCTTTTTTTCTAATACAGCAATACGAAAGGCGTTACATCGTCCACTGGCGGATCCAGGGAGCGGGCATTTAAAGCAAATATTTACTCTTCCTCCCCTGGCCCCTGCATCGCCCGAAATAGACAAAACGTACCTTATGTTTCCTAATAATAACACTTTTATCAGAATTTTTTTTTGCTTTATACTGTTCAGCAGTAGATCCGTAAGGAATCGAAATCCGAGGAGTTTTTGGATTTTGGACACTTTTTTTTTGGGGGGGGGGTATGTCCCCTACAGCGTCGAAAACGCCTTTCTGGATCCGCCAATGACATCATCTCGACTGAGATCTTGCCCCCCCCCCCCCACGCCAAAATCGAATCCGCCGCCACTGGCGAAGTCCTGAAGTCCATGCTACTGAAAGCCCGATTTCAGGTGTTTGACCTGACCTTGACCTGACCTGTGACCTCAAAATTCAACTTTTGAGTACTCATCTGAAGCGTCTCGTCGCGTTCTTTCGTTTGCCGCCTCGTGCGTTTCGCTGCGCCTATTGGTTCTCGAATTATCGGCTGGGGGCGTTTAACGCCCCCCCCCCCCCCAGCAAACGGTGGGTGGCGAAATACCCCAGCAACTGCCGGGTTAAGGGGGGGGGGGGGCACTGCCGACTTTTGGTCCCATTCTTTCCATGCAACTCCCATAGGGCTAATGTTAAAATGCCAAAATCAAAGGGGGGCACGGTGTCCCGGTGCCCTCCCCGTTCCGCCGCCTATGGCCCTAATGTCCAGGGCGCTCGACTGCCCGACTCCGATCTCTTTAAAGGGACACTCCCACCTTAACATTAGTTTTGAGTTGAGATAGCCAAATTGGTGGCCATGGCCTGCAAATACCGGTTTGGGCACTCACAACATCGACAAATGCTTTAATTCGGAGATATGGAATTTCAAACTTGCAGTTTTCGGATTCTAAGGGGCTAGTGCATTGGTATGCCCCCTTAGAATTTGTGACGTCAGCGGAGATCTAACGATTTTTAAATCTTTTACTAAAACGTTTGGTAGCACGCGGTGGTATATGCTGCTTTGCGCGCAACAAATGCCGCACTTTCAAATAAAGTCGCTAGGAACAGCGGAGATCCCAAAAGTAAACAAAAGTAAAAGTCTAATATCTTGAAAACCGGTGAATATTTTTCGATGAAATTTAGTAGAAACTAGGGTTACCCGCGTGCTCCGCAACGCGAAGAAGGGTTATTTGTGACCCGTGGGTATTGGGTTGGTCTGTGTCGATTTGGTTGGTATCCATTTCGTTCGATTGCTTTTTGACGGCAAAACATTTTGTAGTGAAACAAAAAAGATGCATCGCATCGAGGTGCCCGTGTCGTATTATCATGCGTTCTACTTTAGAATGATTCGAAAACTGGCGTGAAGTCTTTTGAGGGCCATCGATGAATTTCGCTAAAAATGACAATGTAATGGTTTGGAACATTTACATTTTTAAGGATACTGTTGCTAATCATGCAAAAATGAAGAGTGAATATTGGACAGAATTGAATGCTCTATCCAATGGTACCATATTCAATTGCCAAAGGTATCAGGTTATGCAGCAAACCCCGTGTGATTAATAAAGTGGCACAAAATTGACAAACACCATTTTCTCCTGTGATTTGCACCACCTTGATTTGGATCAATCAGCTTTTCACAATTTTTATATGAGAGGCCGTACCTTTCTCTTGCAAATAGGCGTTGATTCAACTCGCTCCATTTAATGTTCACCTAAAAATAAAATTGATTCCAAAATCCCTCAAAAAACGCAATTTTTCAAATAAAAGTGCCCTCTCCGGTGCACGTGGCGCGTGCTATCCTCTGCATTGCACACCATTCAATAGCCCGTTCAATTCTGTACACGATGCTGTTTTCCCCGTGCCGGTCGGACCCCTGGTCACCAAGATATTGCACAGGAACTGGACCCGTGTCGGTCAAAATTAGCCGTTTTCGCCCGATTTCGCACGCCGATTTATACATGTAAAGTCTATGACGCAAATTTGCACTTTTTGTGCACGCGCCACGCGCTCCCTATCGACCCGATCGAGCACAGACCCCTCAAAGGCACGTCGCGCATCCTTGATCTATAAGTTGTGCAAATTTCACCGGGCTAGGTGCAACGGTCTGGCCTGTAGTCCACGCAAAGCAGCACCAAGTCGGGACCTCGGTAACGGACAGACGCACCCTCCTCAAATAGTAATATAGATTCGTTTTCGCTCTTTCTGAACCGAGCGACATCACTTTCGTGCCAATTCATTAACTTTTTTGAAGGTGGGAGGGTCCCTTTAAAGGGACCATCCCACCTTAACATTAGTTTTGAGTTGAGATAGCCAAATTGGTGGCCATGGCCTGAAAATACCGGTTTGGGCATTCACAACATCGAAAAATGCTTTAATTCAGAGATATGGAATTTCGAACTTGCAGTTTTCGGATTCTAAGGGGCTAATGCATTGGTATGCCCCCTTAGAATTTGTGACGTCAGCGGAGATCTAACGATTTTTAAATCTTTTACTAAAACGTTTGGCAGCACGCGGTGGTATATGCTGCTTTGCGCGCAACAAATGCCGCACTTTCAAATAAAGTCGCTAGGAACAGCGGAGATCCCAAAAAGTAAACAAAAGTAAAAGTCTAATATCTTGAAAACCGGTGAATATTTTTCGATGAAATTTGGTAGATATTCATTTTTGCTCTTTCTGAACCGAGCGACATCACTTTCATGCCAATTCATTAACTTTTTTGAAGGTGGGAGGGTCCCTTTAAGCGCAGTGTCATTTGCCATGCATCGAATTGTTACAACTTGCCGAATGAATAAAAAAACGTTTGTTTCACCTTACTTTCGTTTCAACAAGTCTGAAGTCAGGTAAAAAGTGCGAACGGTTTATAGTTTATACGAATTGTGAAATTGTGATCCTTTTCTTCAAGGATCCGTTGTGGGATCACTTTAGCCAGTATAAAAAAAGCAGTCTTGACTTAGTCGAGGCGGAGCGGGGTGAGCAGACACGCCACGGGGCTAGCACGCCGCGGTGCGTCTGCGATGCTTTTCGGTCTTGCCATGAACTGGAAAGCATATTATCTCATCCATGGTCTTGCGTTAGTACCGACCTATAAATGCAGGATACAGCGTTCGCGCTGTTGAAAGGCGTTGCTCCGTCGGATGCCATCACTAAGTGACTGACAAGTGACAGGATCTTTCGTCTATTGGAGTGACCGTGAGGCGATTCGTAATTCGTATCAAAGTCGATCTTTGAAACGATTGCTGAAGGTCTGTCTGAACTCTGAATTAATTATCAAATTGTACCATTTCAATTTTCAATAGTGCTTGACCAGTGGCGCGGGAACTTCTTCCAGACTGGGGGGGCTGAACCATAATAGAAATCAACCTAGGGTACCCCCAAATCTAGTTTTCTCACCGGTTTTAGGCCACTTATTTTTCAGACCTTGGCCTTTTCAACAACAAAAAAAAAACGAAAATATTTTCAAAAAGTGAGGTATTCCGTCTCAGTTGAGTGAAGAAATTACCGTTTTGGCAACCTGGAGTAAAGGTTTTAATCTGCCAAATGAGTTGCCGAGCCAGTGAAATAGGTGGATTTTTCACTTACATGCTTTCTTCCTTTGTGACCCACAACCCCTAATTTGGGGAGGACAAGCTGCCCAACGGTTCCTGGCCTCATGAAACGTTGTGGGGGCACCGCCCCCACGGCCGCAGAGTTGTGGGGGCAAGCTTCCCCCACTGCCCCCTCCCCCGGTTCCCACGCCTATGTATGAATCTATGAAATTATGTTGGTAGATTTTCGATTTCGATTCCTCCAGCTGGGGGGGCTCAAATACATTACGAGCCCCCCAGCCGAAAAGCTGGGGGGGCTCAGCCCCCCTAGCCCCCCCGGTTCCCGCGCCACTGTGCTTGACTTGATTATTTCCGTTGTTTTCATTGCTCGGGGTTACATGAGCAGAGTTAATACGCATTACAAACGGACTACAATGGTGAGCGAATAGGAAAATCCGTTCCTGATACGCATTTACTTGCTCATGTAACCCCGGTAATTGACTTACACATGGCTGCTACATTCGAAACAGATACAACTTTGCCTATTATCCTGTGAATAGGTGGTCTGCTTTCAGCTTTGCGTTGTCACTGTGGGACTGGCGGGACTGGCAATGTTTTAAAAACTTCGTGCGAGCGCGCTTTCGATATATAGCAGTGAAATAGTGCCTTACGAATTATGACATTTCTGGCGCTCAAATGACAGTCTAGGCGAACGTAAACATTGCAGCCAAGCACTGAACTCTATAGTGCAGCCAAGATAACAACAGGAAAGACAAATAGTTGAAATGAATGGCTTTTAATTTGTGGGACACCTGAAACCGGTATGTTTACACGAATTATTATTTTTTATACAGCTTAGTCTATCAGTATGTGATGGTTACTTGCTGTTATTCTCAAAGCTATCACCTGTCATGGTTTTGGAGGTGCACATCCTTGGATTCCTATTTCGATTTCTGAAGGCTTCCCACCATATGGGTCGAGTTTCATGCCTCAAGAACCTATTTTTGCATTCTTGCTTCATTTTCAAACATAACTGAGTCTGGCCTACTTGACTGGCTTTTCAGCATGATATCATGGTATTAATGGTCTAATGGCCAAAACTACCAGTGTTTGGGTTGGGAATCGTGCAATTGATGTGTGAATGTATTATGTGATTTTTTCCTTCTAGCAGCCATAGACACAGGTACATTTAAAAAATTGCATTTTTTCATTTACTTGGTGATATTTTAGTGTTGAATAGTAGAACATAACTCCAGACTGCAAAGCATGGCATTGGGTCGAGTTTGGGCATCAATAAGACACCAGAAGCCAGATGGTGAAAAATCCTTTCTAGCCCTGATCAGTATGGCTGGAAATCCATGCCATCTTACATAGAATGTGAATGATAAATTTTGCTGAATGATTTAATTTGTTCTTGTGATCAGTCAAAACTGCAAGTAAAAGTGTATTCTTCTCTGGACAATTCCACAGTATTTTTGTAGTGCCTCCTATGCAGGGGCGTCGCCACAGATTTTTGAGTGGGGGGGTCGGGTTTCTAGTCTTCACCCGATGGGTAGGGGTGTTTTTTTTTCCACACTTCCCAGTTTTGTGCGTGCGTACAGCGTATGTGTGTGTGTGCGTGTGTAACAAATCGGCGCGCAGCGCCGCCAAATTTGGTATAACCTATTAGGTAGGTATACCTACCTACATCACTTGCGTAAAAATTATCACTGGTCACTTAAGGTCAGGTCGCCATGTCAAGTTCAGTTATACGGTATACCTCTATAAAATCTTTCCCCTCTCGCCATTCTTGTAGCTTTTCTCCCATAACTTCGAAATTTGGTACACTGTATAGGTACCTGATGTATGGGGTTATACGTGTCACCAATTTATGATTCTAACTGAGGATTTACTGATCTGAAGGCAGGTCAAATACGTGACCTCATCATTAGAAAATAATGAGAAATTAGAAAAAGCACGAATGCCTCCTGCTTTGAAAAAGTTCGTCAGAAACGCAAAATATCTTTGGAGCCATGACAAATCAGCTCATCATTGCCAGGGACAGGGTGCAACTTATGGCGAGTGATGACTCGAAAGGTCATTAGTGGAAATGTCCATCGATGGCCACCAGCATTTTTTTCTACAACTTTTGACGAAGACGCGGTAGAGCGATGACAGCACCTGGAAGGTGTTCACTGTTCAGCTCAACAACACGGATCCATTCATATGCAGCAGGAGGTCCTTTTTCGATCAGGACATAACGTTGACCTGAGGTCGTTTTAACGTTAATTCTGAATGGTCAAATTTTAACTCATATGACGCGTCTCAAAGAGATCAAGACGGTGGTGACAAGACAACATATGTACATACCATACAAATTCACGGAATCGAAAGTTATTGCAAAGCAGATGTTTCGGCAGAATCTGTCCAGTTAGCTGTTTGCCTTCTTATGGGCCAAACATAGACCTGAGATGAAATCTAACGCGAAGCTAGCGAAAGAGCATTAAAAGAGCTATCGAATAGTTTTCTGCTTCACTGTAGCCCTTCTATTGGTGGTTTCCCAGTCGCTAACGTATAACGTATGCTAAACTAACGCTGAGGCATGCTTTCGACCCCTGATCGATCTACAGGTTTGCGGAGAAAAGAGCATGCTGCCCGTGACGAGAGAAAGCCGATGATACCCATTTACAAGTTTTCGGGTCATCTCAGGACTCAGGTCATCGCCAATAAGTAAACTCGGGATCTGCTAGAACTTAACGAATGTAAGTTGTGATGGTTTTTCGAGGTTCTGAATACGAATGTTATCTTAATTTTGAAAGAAGATGATGACTCCATGCATTTGGGGTAGATCAGGTCAGGTCAGATCGACCAGTACCTAATAGTGGATGACCACCACCGATTGCTTCCTAGCATGTTATATGAATAAGCAACACAACTACTTCTTAAATGTTCAGATGGGCGCTAAGTTCAAAATCAGCTCCAAAAACTACCCTATAAATTAAAAGCACGTTATGAAAAAGTGAACTAAGGTCATCTTTATTTGAATCAGGGATATCGATTTATTTTAAGTAGGTGATTAACTCGAGCGCACCGGAAGTTTTGTTGCAATCGGCTCCTTTTTGCGCGACTTCTTTGCGAAAGCCCGAGACGGTTCCATCTGACTCCCTTTCCCCTACATGTGCACTGTACAGCTAGTTTTGACGGTAGCCATGGGGCTGAGGCTAGTTTGTAGTTTTGTAGTTAGGTACTGATCCGACGAATCGACTGCGACCATTTTTTTAAACGATCAGACGAACGCTCGGGGCAGTTTTGGCGCGTCCAATCCTTTGAGGGATAAAAAGGTACTAGGATGGGGTCCACTTAAAGGGACCCTCCCACCTTAACATTAGATTTGAGTTGAGATAGCCAAAATGGGGTCCCTGGCTCACAATTACCGGTTTCGGCACTCACAACATCGAGAAATGCCTTAAATCGGAAATATTGAATTTCAAAATTGCAGCATTTTGATTCAGAGGGGCTAATGCTGAGGAATACCCCTCTGAATGTGTGACGTCAGCGCAGATATCTAACGATTTTTAAATGTTTGACTAAAACGTTTTGTAGCACGCGGTGGTATATGCTATTTGCGCGCAACATCTGCCGCAAACGCCGCACTTCTAAAATAAAGTCGCTAGAAACAGCGGAGATCCCAAAAAAGTAAACAAAAGTAAAAGTCTAATATCTTGAAAACCGGTGAATATTTTTCGGTGAAATTTGGTAGATATTCGTTTTCGCTCTTTCTGAACCGAGCGACATCACTTTCATGCCAATTCATAAACTTTTTTGAAGGTGGGAGGGTCCCTTTAAAAACATTGTTGTACTGGTGTTCCCCGCCCACAGCTAATTGACCTTTAGGTAATTGGCTAATTGGCTTTAGGGAGCTCTTGAAGCGATTTTGAATCTGATGTATTTGTTGGTGTTGCTGACGCCTGCTTCACTGACATAAAAGCTAAAAAAGCATACTCAGCATCGCAAAAAGTGGGGGGGTCGACACCCCCAGTTTTCAAGAGTGGGGGGGGTCACGACCCCCCCGACCCCCCCGTCGGCGACGCCCCTGCTCCTATGCATCATTTGTTCAATATATTGCTGCACCAGCACAGCAATTCAGCACAGTACCAATAAGCGTACCACACAGTACCACTGCTCCACTTTAATTCTGCACCTTTACATGCTGGCATATTGCATCCATACTGGCAAGGTCTCTTCAAGGTTGTGATACTGTGCAGTCTGGTTATAACCCAGAGTCTGGCTGGCAACCATGAATCTCTCGTGCACTGGAAAATGGGGCCAGCAGCTGCATTACATTGGCCAGCTCATTATATCATATGAAAATTATATAATGAAGGATCTTAATTTGGTGCTAGTGAGATAATGCTGCTGATCTTCCTGGTTGAGCATTGCTCTTCCTGCTACTACTTACCTGGACATAATATCCTTTGTGCATTCTTCATTGGCCAATGCTTTGTGACTTTTGAATTTGATCTTCCATTGGCACCTATCCAATTCCATATATGGATTGCAATTTGCACCACAATATCATTGAGGTCATGGCTTGTTTACACTATCCACTATCCAGATGATCAGTTGTTAAATCCCACTAACTGAGACAGTATTGGTGCCTGCTTATGACATCGACAATTCCTTTACTTGCAGATTGTGTTCCACACAACTGGAGCTATCTACACCATCAGCCACACCGATGTGTGCTAGGCTGGTCGATAAGAAGGCCGGCTCAGTCTGGATACAGTAATCTGTGTCGCACGTTTTTCGCCGCGCCATGGACCTGCCCTTCCGTCTCCGTCCAGAGTTTGCCACGCGGTACTTTGCCGCCGAAGTATGCGTACGTATCTTCCTACTGCTGGTCTTCCTGAAGACAGAACTGACGGACCCGTTTGAGCGCCAGATCCGGCCGGAGGAGGCGTGGGTTTACAGTTACCCACAGATGGATAGCTATGTGCCCGGCTCGGCGCTCTGGTTCCTGGTGGTGTCGGTGCCCGTCGCCACCATCGGCGCCCTCTTTCTCATCAACCGTGACTGGATCGATCTGCGCGAGGCCGGACTCTGTTCCTCGCTCGCGCTGCTTCTCACCGGCATAGTCACCAACTGTATCAAGCTCGCAGTAGGCCGGCCGCGGCCGGACTTTTTGTCCCGCTGCTATCCGGAGGGCTTCCAGCGTGTCGACCTGCCCTGCACGGGTAGCGCCATGCTCGTCAGTGAAGGACGCAAGAGCTTCCCGAGCGGGCACGCGTCGCTGGCTGCGTGTCTGGCCGTGTTCACCTGTCTGTACCTGTCGGGTAAGCTGGGCACGTTCACGGAGCGCGGCCGGCGCCAGTCGCACAAGCTGCTGGTGCTGTTTCCGCTGCTGGTGGCGGCGCTGATCGCCGCCAGCCGCACGTGCGACTACCACCACCACTGGCAGGACGTGGTGGTGGGCGGCGCGCTGGGCGTCGCCATCGGCTGGATCTGCTACAGGCACTTCTACCCGGCGGTGACGGAGGCCGGCGCCGACCGGCCGCACTGCGTGGCCGGCGTGGACGACACGCCGCTGCTCCCACAGCACGTGCCGACCTCGTCCGCCGCCGCCGCCGCCAGCGAGAGCGACGTGAAGTGGATGTAGTGATGGAATGGCGTGAAGGGGTGAATCTCGGAGAGGGGCGTGGCGGTGCGGGTGATCGTATGCCGCGTGTGATAAGATCGGGTGAGGGTGTAATAGACCTGTGGTATGGTGAGGTCGGGTGAGGCCGCCGTAACCGTGATGTGCGACAGCTTTGGGTGAAGGTGTGATGAGATAGAATATGATGGAGGGAGGTATTCGGCCAATCGCCGTAGTAGGATGTATGGAAAGTTCAGTTGGCTCGTGCCGGCTGTTTAAACGGTGCATTCCATTAGGGAGAAAGATGTGTCGACTGTCGTGCTGTGGTGCTTTCGACGGGGCGTGTCTCGGCCCTGCAGACATAATTTAATGCGAGACGGGTACCTGCTCGTTGCATTTCTTTCGATATCAGCATTCCTGGAGAACGAGGAGCTTATTCAAAGCCCCATGTATATTTGTGAAAGACGACAAAATATACCTGTAAATGGGAAATCTTACCTATTCATTTTGAAATACTTTTTACCTATGACGTATTGGCATGGGGGTGAAAATGTTGCCTAAGTCTCAATGTCGAAGCAAATGAAGCATAGCTTAGAAAAGCATCCTTTTGTGCAGATTGTCGACTCGCTGCGAAGTCCGTGTGTGAATGGTTCATTCTCAGTATATGTCGTATATTGCACCTCCGTTTCGTCGCTTCCGTCCTCAGGATAATGAAGTCCTCTCCACGCCGTAACTCCCACTCCGGGCGGGACAGGCACCTCTATCTCATGCGGACTGCTCCCTTGGAGCGGCACCGCTGCTTCCGAGGGAACGCACCCCGTAGCCGGGTGCAGAGAGTGCTTGGGGGCTGTGCGGCCTGTCCAATCGGATGGGCTCAGCCCCGGCGACTATCTAGGGTGTCTGCCTGACCAATACCTCCCTAATTTGTATCATCCTTCCGGCTCTGAAAGGTCTTGTCAGGGCCTGACACCAAAAAAGTATTTTGCTGCATTTTAATTTGAAAATCCAGTCTATTAGGCGTAACCTTGATAGATGAGCGAGGATAGAGGACTATAAACAAATACACGACAAACATGACGTCATGTTCAACAAACGTTCATTGGCCGAATCTTTTTCGAGGGTCCGCAGCTCAAGCACTATTTGTCTTTGATACACATAGAAATTAGATTATGGGTAAATTTAGCCACGAATATTTTTACAAATCTTCAGTTACTTCTCCAAAACTATGCTCGTAAACATTTTGAAGCAGATGAATGCTATCCATTTTAAAGTTGATGACGTCATTGAAATTGACTCTCATAAGTAATGCTTGAGTATATCATTGAGCATTGAGGCATTTGCTGTGTTTATATCTGTCGTCTTCGATTCCAGGACAAATCTTCGTATGGCATTTCTTCGTCGCGCAATTCTTCGTCCGCATTTCTTCGTCCGCAAATCTTCGTCGGCGCATTTATTCGTGTCGCATAACTTCGTCTCGCATTTCTTCGTAAGCGCAAATATTCGTAGCGCATTTTTTCGTATCCGCATTTCTTCGTACGCGCATTTCTTCGTCAAGCATTTTTTCGTCCACGCATTTCTTCGTCTACGCAAATCTTCGTCCGCATTTCTTCGTCCACGCAAATCTTCGTCTGCGCATATCTTCGTCCGCAAATCTTCGTCCCCGCAAATCTTCGTCCGCAAATCTTCGTCCGCATTTTTTCGTCCACGCATTTCTTCGTCTCCGCAAATCTTCGTCCGCATTTCTTCGTCCACGCAAATCTTCGTCCCGGCAAATCTTCGTCCGCAAATCTTCGTCCGTAAATCTTCGTCCGCAAAACTTCGTCCGCAAATCTTCGTCCGCAAATCTTCGTCCGCATTTTTCGTCCACGCATTTCTTCGTCCACGCAAATCTTCTTCCGCAAATCTTTGTCTGCGCATATTTTCGTCCGCAAACCTTTGTCTCCGCTATCTTCGTCTCCGCAAACATTCGTCCACAAATGTGGTTCAATAAAACCATGAAGAAATATATCAGACCATCAAGTGATTGACGAATTTAATGCATGGAATGGATGATCGAAACTTTTGAAGTCAGGTAGATGAGGTCTGTCAGGTGAAGCTATTGTATTTGGGAGCCGAGAATTGAAACATTCCATATCATTTGTGTCCCGGACATTCTTTTTTCGCGGTCGATGAATGACAATATAATCTCGATTGTACCCTCGCCGGCATAGGCGGCGGAACGGCGAGGGCACCGGGTCCGGGGCACCGTTCCCCTCTTTAATTTTGGCCTTTTAACAGTAGCCCTATGGGCGTACTGCATGGAAAGAATGGGACTAAAAGTCGGCAGTGCTGTGCCCCCCCCCCCCCTAATTGAAGGTGTTCCGCCACTACTGCTCGCCGGACCTATTTGTTTTCTACATACACGCCGGCCGAGGGGGGGGGGGGCGGGTACGACCCCCCCCATCGCCGTTTCGCCACTGGTGAAGCTAGCGCGTCGCGGAAAAAACGAGCGTGTGCGCCGTTACGAGACGCAGAGATTAATACCCGATTTTAAGGCCTTCTAGGTCAGGGGTCGGCTTACGGCCCGCGGGCCGGATCCGGCCAGGAGGGTGACGGTTGGATCCGGCCCGCGACCATCTGACGTCCGGCCCGCGGCTGATATCATCGACTTACGTTGTAGGGATCATCTACGCGATTTGTCATCTATGCGATTTGTCATTTCATGTTGTCATTTTTATTTATATTGTCACCGCTTTATTAATCAATCTGTTACCTGTTGCCAATTGAGCGTCAAGTTTGTTTGTTATTTGTAAACCGGCCTGCCGCTGGCCTCAACCTTCCTAGTAACCGCTGTGCCATACGCTATAGAACGTGTCGTGCAAAGGTCACGGCGGCACCCCTGAGGCGGCCGCTGCCCGTACGTTTAGGAGCCCATTGTCGTGACGTCATGACTGTGAGCAAAGGTCGCGGTAGGGGCTCTCCCGGCAGCCGGACGGTGACTCATACGTTAAGCTTGTCTCTCGCCGCGCCTGCGGGCATATTGGTAGTACTAGGAACGGCCAGCATGTGACCGCGGTTTTCGGCGACATTGTCAATTCGTGTCTCGACTCTGCTGTTCGCTACAAGACAAATACACATAGAAAACGGCTCGGGCATTTGGAGAAGAGCGGCTACTCTGAGGCGAAGGAAGAACACGGAGATTCACACAAACGACCTGACTAGGTTGCACCGGCCACAGTCGACCGAGGTGGGCTTCTGCGCCCTTAAAGACGCCTCTGACTGGCCCTTGCGCTGACACCCTGGTCGGACCACGGTCATTGATCGGACCCTGCCACTGGTTCGTGCTCAGGCTGCCTTAGCGGGTAGACCTGCTCGACCAGACGCCCCACTGGTGGGCGAGTGCTCGGTTCCGACTTTCACCGCCGGTCCAACAGCGTTCTGCTGGTTCCCGCCGATCCGGTTACGACACCGCAAGTGCCGTACCGACTCGGGCGTCCCAGGCGGGCGTAACGGTTACCACACCAGTTCGCGACCTCCAGGCTCTGTCAGCCGTCGTACGGCTCTCGGACGGACACTCTAATAGATCAGCCACAGATCAATAGATTGTCACAGACCGTCCGTCCAGCCACGCGCTACCCACAGCGCCAGTACGACAATTGGTGACCCCGACGTGATCTCCGTTGTTCGACCTTAGCCTCTCGTCATGCCCGCGGACAGCGCACAGTCCGGCGCCGCAGCTCAAGACTCGGCCAGCGTTCCAGCTTCAGCCTCTGAGTCAACTCATCGGCCCATGGCTAGCTTCCGGCTACCACCATACTCTCCGGAAGAGCCCGACCTGTGGCTACTGCAGGTGCAGTGCGCTTTCGACGTCAGCGGGGTCGACTCCGACGAGCTGAGGTTTAAGCTCCTCGTTGCAAACCTCCCCGCCAACATCGCCGTCCAGGTCAAGGACGTCATCCGGTCATCTCGGTCTTTTGACGTGCTGTGTGCGGCGCTCCAAGCCCGCCTGGCACAGTCACGCGCCGACCGACTACAAGCCCTGCTCGGCCGCCAACAGCTCGGCGATCAGAAGCCGACGGCGCTGTTGCGTTCAATGCGCAACGAGCTAGCCGCAGCCGGGGACGCCCCGGTTGATACGGAGCTCTTCCGTACCCTATTTCAACAACGGCTACCGCAGCCCGTCCGTGCTGCCCTCGCCCTCCTGCCAGCCGACAGCACGCTTGACGCACTGGCAGAAGCGGCCGACCGGTATCTGGAAGCTAGCGGACCGGACCCACGGCTATCAGCGATCGCGGCACAGCCGTACACACAGCCGGCACCGCCCATCGCTGCTGCAGTGACAGCCCCAGCGCCAGCTGCAACCCCTGCGCTGGACACCGTCATCGCCTCCCTGGTCGCTAAGATGGAGCGCCTGGAGGCCAGTAACCGACGACTCGAGGACGCCGTGCGACGCGACCGCAGCCGTTCCCGGCCGCGCCAGGCGTCTCGCCAGTCACGCCGCCCGTCACCGGCTCGTCCTTCAACGCCGCCGCACGACGACACGCTGTGTTGGTACCACCAGCGATTCGGCGCCCAAGCGCGCCGATGCAAGTTGCCGTGCTCCTGGATCGCCTCGGAAAACTGAGGCGCCCCGTGCTGATGGCGCAAAGCACGGGCGCCCCTCCTGCCGCGCCACTCCTCTTCGTGAGGGACACGGAGACGGACCGGCAATTTCTAGTCGACACCGGGGCGCAGGTCAGCGTGCTGCCTCGCCGCTGCCTGCCCAACGGGTCTACGCTGACCCCTGCTCCTGTCGGCCAGCAGCTCGTCGCGGCAAACGGCTCACCGATCGCGGTGCACGGCACCTGCCTGCTGGACGTCACCTTGAGTCAGCAGCACCGCCTGAAACATCGATTCTTCGTCACTGACGTCACCACACCCATCTTGGGCACCGACTTCCTGGCCGCACATCACCTCGTCGTGGACGTTGCCAACCAACGTCTCCTGCGGGACGGCACCGTCTGCGCCAGCGCCGAGCGGTCAAAGCTGTGCTCCATCGGAGTGCGTCTCGTCCGGGAGCAGGCTGCTGCTCGCTTCGCAGCTGTCCTCGCCCGGTACCCGGATGTGACCTCACCAAAACCTGGACCAACACCGGTGAAGCACAACGTGACGCACCACATCGTCACCAAGGGTCCACCGGTGTACCAGCGGCCACGACGCCTCCCGCCGGAGCGCCTTCAAATCGCACGTGCTGAGTTCAACAAGATGCTCCAGCAAGGCATCATTCGACCGTCGAGCAGCAGCTGGACAACTCCACTCCACATGGTGCCAAAGAAGAGACCCGGCAAGTGGCGTCCTTGCGGCGACTACAGAGCGCTGAACGCCCGCACCGTACCAGACCGCTACCCGCTGCCGTACCTGCGGGACTTTTCAGCCGACCTGCATGGGTGCACCGTCTTCAGCACCATTGACTTGGTGAAGGCTTACCACCAGATCCCGGTGGAACCTGCCGACGTCCCCAAGACAGCCATCACGACACCGTTCGGCCTCTACGAATGCGTTCGGATGCCGTTCGGCCTCAGAAACGCCGGGCAGACCTTCCAGCGTTTCATGGATGAGGTCCTCCGCGGCATACCGGGCTGCTTCGTCTACCTGGACGACATTCTGCTGGCCAGCCCGACTACCGAACACCACCTGCAGCTCCTGGACCAAGTGCTTCAGCGCCTCAACACCTACGGCGTCGTCGTCAACAGGCACAAGTGCGTCCTGGGACAGGAGCAGGTGGTGTTCCTCGGCCACTCGGTAGACGCCGACGGCGTCCGCCCGCTGCCTGGACGAGTCGAGGCCATCAAAGACTTCCCGGAACCGACCACTCAGTCCCAGCTACGGAGGTTCCTGGGGATGGTAGCCTACTACCACCGCTTCATCCCCCAGGCAGCCGAGCTCCTGCAGCCTCTGCACGCCTTAATCACCCACAAGGCAAAACGCTCGAGAGCGCCTGTCACGTGGACAGACTCGGCGCGGCAGCGTTTCAAGAACGTCAAGGACGCCCTGGCCACGGCGACACATCTCGCACACCAAGTCCCGGACGCGCCGCTCGCCCTCTTCGTCGACGCCTCGGACTGCGGAGTGGGCGCCGTCCTCCAACAGCACGTAGCTGGCGAATGGCAGCCGCTAAGCTTCTTCTCCAAGACGCTTCAACCTGCAGAGAAGAAGTACAGCACCTTCGGGCGCGAGCTGCTCGCTATCTACCTGGCCGTCCGGCACTTCAAGCACGCCATCGAAGGCCGGTCGGCAATCGTCTTTACAGACCACCGCCCGCTGGTAACGGCCATCGGCTCCTCGTCCGACCGCTACTCGCCACGAGAGGTCCGCCACCTGGACTACATCGGCCAGTTCGTGTCTGACATCCGCCATGTGCCTGGCAAGGACAACGTGGTCGCCGACACGCTGTCACGCACGGTCTCGATGGTGGCCCAGCCGCGACCCCCGCTCGCCGACTTCACTGCCATCGCCAAGGCCCAGTCCGAAGACGGCTCGCTGGAAGACCTCGAGGCCTTAGACACCTCACTGCGCCTGCGCCACATTCCGGTCGGCGATGGACTCCGTCTGCTCTGCGACGAGTCCACCGGATCGCCTCGGCCGGTCCTCCCAGAGGCGCTGCGCCGGCCCTTCGCCAAGGCTCTGCACGACCTGTCGCACCCTGGCGTCGAGGCCACCGTCAAGCTCGTCTCTAAGCGGTTCGTCTGGCCCGGTATGGATCGCGACGTGCGCCGCTGGACCCGAACCTGCCTCGCCTGTCAGCGCTGCAAAATCGGCCGGCACACCAAGTCTGACGTCGGCACCTTCCAGCCACCTCAGCAACGCTTCGACCACGTCCACGTGGACCTCGTCGGCCCGATGCCTCCGTCAAGAGGGCACTCGTACCTCCTGACGTGCGTCGACCGGTTCACTCGGTGGCCAGAAGCCATCCCTCTGCCGGACATCCGCACCACCACGGTCGCCCGCGCCTTCCTCGAGCACTGGGTCGCCCGATTCGGCGTTCCGTCCATCATCACGACGGACCGAGGCGCCCAGTTCGAGTCGGCCCTCTGGTCGGAGCTACAGCGATTCCTGGGCTGCCAGCGAACTCGGACGACGTCCTACCACCCGGCCTGCAACGGTATGGTGGAACGCCTGCATCGCCAGCTGAAGGCCAGCCTCCGTGCACACCAGGCTACGTCATGGACGGACGTGCTGCCGCTGGTGCTCCTGGGCATACGCTCCACCATCAAGGCGGACCTGCAGGCGACGTCAGCCGAGCTGGTGTACGGCTCCTCACTGCGGCTTCCCGGCGAGTTCTTCACCAGCAGCCAAGCCTCACCAGCATCACCGGCCGGTTTCGTACAAGACCTGAAGCGCGCCATGTCTCAGGTGCGGCCGACACTCCCACGTCCGGTCCAGCGCGCCACGTACGTCCCGACGGCACTCCAGACGGCGACACACGTCTTCGTGCGCAGGGACTGTCACCGCTACCCGCTGGACGCTCCATACGACGGACCGTTCCCGGTTACCGAAAGGACCACCAAAACCATCACCATCGACCGTCGACAGAAAAAGGAAGTCATCAGCATCGACCGGTGTAAGGCCGCCTTCCTGGAGACGCCAGACGAATCCGGTCATCGACAGCCTGACCTGCCGACTGTGCAGCCGCACGGTACTCAGTCCAGCGGCCCGCCGGCCGCGCCACCGCTCAGCAATGAGCCCAGCGGCCCGGAGCTTCTGATCTACGGAGACGCACCAAATCGCCCTGCAGCCGTCGCTCAGGCTGACGCTGCACCATTGCAGCCTCAGCCGATACTACGGACGACCCGCTCCGGCCGCGTCATACGACCTCCGGTAAGATATCGCCATGTAACTTTTGTCCGCGACATGTCTGGCGAGGGGGTACTGTAGGGATCATCTACGCGATTTGTCATCTATGCGATTTGTCATTTCATGTTGTCATTTTTATTTATATTGTCACCGCTTTATTAATCAATCTGTTACCTGTTGCCAATTGCGCGTCAAGTTTGTTTGTTATTTGTAAACCGGCCTGCCGCTGGCCTCAACCTTCCTAGTAACCGCTGTGCCATACGCTATAGAACGTGTCGTGCAAAGGTCACGGCGGCACCCCTGAGGCGGCCGCTGCCCGTACGTTTAGGAGCCCATTGTCGTGACGTCATGACTGTGAGCAAAGGTCGCGGTAGGGGCTCTCCCGGCAGCCGGACGGTGACTCATACGTTAAGCTTGTCTCTCGCCGCGCCTGCGGGCATATTGGTAGTACTAGGAACGGCCAGCATGTGACCGCGGTTTTCGGCGACATTGTCAATTCGTGTCTCGACTCTGCTGTTCGCTACAAGACAAATACACATAGAAAACGGCTCGGGCATTTGGAGAAGAGCGGCTACTCTGAGGCGAAGGAAGAACACGGAGATTCACACAAACGACCTGACTAGGTTGCACCGGCCACAGTCGACCGAGGTGGGCTTCTGCGCCCTTAAAGACGCCTCTGACTGGCCCTTGCGCTGACACCCTGGTCGGACCACGGTCATTGATCGGACCCTGCCACTGGTTCGTGCTCAGGCTGCCTTAGCGGGTAGACCTGCTCGACCAGACGCCCCACTGGTGGGCGAGTGCTCGGTTCCGACTTTCACCGCCGGTCCAACAGCGTTCTGCTGGTTCCCGCCGATCCGGTTACGACACCGCAAGTGCCGTACCGACTCGGGCGTCCCAGGCGGGCGTAACGGTTACCACACCAGTTCGCGACCTCCAGGCTGTGTCAGCCGTCGTACGGCTCTCGGACGGACACTCTAATAGATCAGCCACAGATCAATAGATTGTCACAGACCGTCCGTCCAGCCACGCGCTACCCACAGCGCCAGTACGACAACGTCGTGTTCCGGCCCGCGGTTCCTTCAGAAATCGACTCCGATATAAAAGTGACTTAAATGTGCTTTGGCACAATAGTTCTTCCTTCGCACACTTCATGAGTTTATAAACACCATTTGCGGGTGTTTTTTGTCTAATTCTACTTCTAGACAAAACTTGCGCGGGCCGGACGTCAGATGGTCGCGGACCGGATCCAACCGTCACCCTCCTGGCCGGATCCAGCCCGCGGGCCGTAAGCCGACCCCTGACCTAGAAGGCCTTAAAATCGGGTATTAACCTCTGCGTCTCGTAACGGCGCACACGCTCGTTTTTTTTCCGCGACGCGCTAGCTCCACCAGTGGCAAAACGGCGATGGGGGGGGGGGGTCGTACCCGCCCCCCCCCCCTCGGCCGGTGTGTATGTAGAAAACAAATAGGTCCGGCGAGCAGTAGCGGCGGAACACCTTCAATTAGGGGGGGGGGCACGGCACTGCCGACTTTTAGTCCCATTCTTTCCATGCAACGCCCATAGGGCTACTGTTAAAAGGCCAAAATTAAAGAGGGGAACGGTGCCCCGGTGGCCGACGCCCTCCCCGTTCCGCCGCCTATGCCGGCGAGGGTACAAGAGATTATATTGTCATTCATCGACCGCAAAAAAAGAATGTCCGGGACACAAATGATATGGAATGTTTCAATTCTCGGCTCCCAAATACAATAGCTTCACCTGACAGGCCTCATCTACCTGACATCAAAAGTTTCGATCATCCATTCCATGCATTAAATTCGTCAATCACTTGATGGTCTGATATTTCTTCATGGTTTTATTGAACCACATTTGTGGACGAATGTTTGCGGAGACGAAGATAGCGGAGACAAAGGTTTGCGGACGAAAATATGCGCAGACAAAGATTTGCGGACGAAGATTTGCGTGGACAAAGAAATGTGTGGACGAAAAATGCGGACGAAGATTTGCGGACGAAGATTTGCGGACGAAGATTTGCCGGGACGAAGATTTGCGTGGACGAAGAAATGCGGACGAAGATTTGCGTAGACGAAGAAATGCGTGGACGAAAAAATGCGGACGAAGATTTGCGGACGAAGATTTGCGGAGACGAAGATTTGCGGACGAAGATATGCGCAGACGAAGATTTGCGTGGACGAAGAAATGCGGACGAAGATTTGCATAGACGAAGAAATGCGTGGACGAAAAAATGCTTGACGAAGAAATGCGCGTACGAAGAAATGCGGATACGAAAAAATGCGCTACGAATATTTGCACTTACGAAGAAATGCGAGACGAAGTTATGCGACACGAATAAATGCGCCGACGAAGATTTGCGGACGAAGAAATGCGGACGAGGAATTGCGCGACGAAGAATTGCCATACGAAGATTTGTCCGGTTACGGTCGTCTTCGCACGATTTCTAATATTGGAGACGGAGACATCAATATGGATTAGCGTACAGCTTTTCGACCATTCGATGGATGTGGATATCTCATTTCATTCGGGAATCGTGTCACAATTCTTGCTGCAGTGCTTGTGCTACGGCCAAGCTACAGCTTACAATTAACAATCGTTTTGATCGTTCTTGCTAAACGCTGGTCACCCTTGTTGTGACAGCTTGAAAGTTTATCTGCTAATTTCGATGCTGCATTTATTGCAGTATGAGCATCAGTGCATTTGAGGGACTAAGAAATGAAGAAAGAAATGGTACCAGCTTATCTGATGATGATCCAATTCTAGATTTTTCTTCATCAAGAGTAGCAATGCCTCTAGATGATCAGGATGTGCGAGTTATGCAGGGACGAGCAAGAATGTGTAATGCATGTCAGCTATTCTCAAAGCCTATGTGTACTCATAATGAATTAGGTATGGACAATGGAAGTGAGCAATACACAAATGGTTATGTCTCCAGAAGGAATGGCTATCAGGCACTTGCTCAGGTTAGTAGATCAATAATTCAATATTGATACGCTCCTGCACAAACAGCTTTGTTGAGTCCTTCATAGATGATCTAATAACTGAAGTAGGTAAATTTATTCTATGAATCTCATCTTTATACTTGTCTGGCTGTCCATTCAACCAATTACTGTCAAGCTCTGCAAGTGCATTTTCTCATTCTGATTCTATCAGATAACCTGAACAGAACTGAGTACCTACCTATGTACTTAATGGTTTGATTGACCTATTTTATTGATATGACCTTTTGTTTTTCAGGAGGATGGTCCTGTCAGAGAGCTTGACCACAGCTTTGAACAGACCCATTGTCATGGGCCAACACCACCTGCCGACACTTCAAGGAGAGAGGCCTTGCTCAGGCTTGCTGTCACCTCTTGCTTCTGTTTCCTGTTCATGGTGAGCAATAGCTCATTTCCTATTCTAAATTATTTGGAGTTGGGCCATGTGGCAGACCCAACCTCAGATGACCCTTATGACAAATTGCTGGATATGACATTTACATAACTATGTAGTATGTAGGCATGCAAGTTGTATGGGGGAGGGCTGGGAAACAACTGGGTGCTACTGTTATGTTCCTTGATGATTTTGAAGTTATCTTGCTGGCAATTCCAGGTGGCACTGCTAAGCAGTTTGTGTTGGCATCCAGCAAACAAAGCTGTGTAGATGAACTGCATCAACTTCCTTTGCACCAGTTTCAGGGGGTTGTGTTTCAATGTAGGTAACTTATGGGTCTTTCACAGTTTCAGAGAGTTGTTGTAATGTAACTTTGTAGATTGGGTGTATCAAACTTCAGTAGAACAAGATTACTTGAAATGCATTTAAAAGCATTGTTCCAAAAATGTGTTAAACAATTCATAATGATGTATTATGGATGTTGACTGTTTGGGCCACCCACAAGCTCCTACCTGGATCAATGACTTATTGAGATTACTGATAAATGTGTCCAGTCTTGAAATAAGTCCTGCATTTTGTTTTTCACACACTTAACCCTCGCCGGACCTATTGGTTTTCCACATACGCGCCGGCCGAGGGGGGGGGGAAGGGGTACGACCCCCCTCACCGTTTCGCCCCTGGTGGAGCTAGCGCGTCGCGGAAAAAAGAGCGTGTGCGTCGTTACGACACGCAGAGATTGATACCCGATTTTAAGGTCCTATGTCAACTGGTGACCTCTGAGGTCAGGTCAAGTGCCCCAAGGTACAGTTCCGTTTTTGGTGAATAACTTCGCCAAAAAACGGCCGCAGAGCCCCGCGATTTTGGCAGCATCGTGTTCGCCTCGCTCATGTGCGTCTAATGATATACTTTTTGTTTGGGTGAGGTCAACATTGGGTGTTGACCTCAGGTCACGGTCAGGTCAGCGCCCCCCGGTCACGAACTTGGTTGAGGGAGGTCATGTCGCATATCATTCGGTTCGGCAGGTCTTCCTGAGGCCATTGCTGGCTTTCCCGACTCGCTAGCTCAATTTGATATGGAGTTATTGACAAAAAACTAATATGACCCTAATATTGCAAAAGTGACGCATTGAACCCTGCAAGGAGTACATCAAATCACGATTCTGTGTGCTTGAGATAGTTGGAGATCGTTCCCGGCGCCAGAATAGCAGTTTTCATTTTTCCCCATTGACTTGTAATGGTGAGGTCACGAAAATGATCTGACCTCATATGACCTTTAGGAAAAGTCTGAGATATACAAGTTGTGAGACTCGTAATGAATACTAGATCCTGAAAGTTTCATTTCCCTGTGACAGCTCCTCTGGCAGAGAGGGCGTTGCGAAGTAGCGACATCTGAAGACCGTGCAGAGGTTCACTTATGACGTCATAGGTCAGTGACCTGACCTGACCTGAAAATGCGGTTGATGTCAAAAGGTCCGGCTTTAATCAAAGGTCAGCTATGCCAAGTTTCAACTCTCTGTCACCAGCGTGTTCGGAGCTATTGCGAAAAAAACCTATGGAGGGGGGGGGGGGGGGGGGGAAGGCGGTACCCGCCCCCCTTGGCCGGCGAGGGTTAAATTAACCCTCGCGCGTATTGGTGTTTTTCCAGCTAAGGCCCCCCTTGCCATTTCGCCCCTGATCGAGCTAGAGCTTCGCGATAAAAAACGAGCGTGCTGCCCGTAACGAGAGGAAGCCGATGACACCCAATTTTAACCCTATTAGTGGCAGGGGGGGGGTTGTTTTCATCCACCCCTCAGGTTTTTCGGGAATATCTCCGAAACCGCTGAAGCTACGATGCTGAAATTTTCTGACTTTTCCTAAAACTAAATTGGGCACATTCCCTGAAAATTTCAAGTTCATAACTTTACCAGGGGCGGCTCCAGAGCACTGGGAATTGGGGGTCCTATTCGTAAAGCGAGTCATTTGGGCGAAGATCACGATGCTGCACCAGTTTTACGAACAGTGAATGAAAGGTATCATGTGATAACATTGACAAAGTTATTGTGCATCCTCTTTTGACACGTTTTTGCTGTAATAGGCGGATCCAGGCGTCCAAAAAGGGGGGTTATGTTTTACCTCCCAACATAGGTGCCCTGACACCGCCTATGCATGACCAATACAATTGTAGTCGTTCTCTCATAAGAAAATTGTAACATAACAAGACCATTACCACCCTTTTTAGAAACAGTACCAACAAAAACCTTATTTACTATACTTTTTGTGTACCCCCAATCTCAATTATCTGTATCCGCCTATGATTTTTGAAAATGCATATTTTTAGAATCTATGTGAATTCCTGGTTCATTCTCTATCGATCGGCAAAAGTTGCGTTAAGATTGGTTCAGAAACCTGGCCGTGATAAACAGTCTAAAATGTATCTGCAATTTACCCGTTTTTACCCCCCTCTACCCCCCCTATTGACATTTTTTAATTTTTATTTTTTAGAAATGTAGATCACGTTCAGCGGAATCGAATGCCGTTTGAATTTTGAAAATCGGCCTGTTAGATCTCGAGATATCAAGGGGGGGGTCGTAAACAGCCCCCCCCCCTGCCACTAATAGGGGTAGCCAGGAGCCTGCCACTAATAGGGTTAAGGGGTTAGGTCTAGAGGTGGCAAAATGTGGACCCGAGGACCCGGTCCAAAGAACCAGTCTGGACCCATATGGGTCCAGACCGGTTCCTGGAAATTTTATGACTGGTCCAACCGGGTCCTACCATAAACTATACATCTTGCACACTACACATTATTGCAAATATGAAGTGAATTAAGTGAATGTTTATTTGCACACAGTAGCTCATGAGTATTCCCAATTGGAAATAGGCTGTTTTACATGATGCAACTAATGATACCTACAAGTAGTTTGTATTAATTGACTTTTGGGGAACGGGTCCAACTGGTTCCGATTCCAACTAAGACCGGGTCCGACTGGTTCCAGAAAGGTCCAGCCGGGTCTGGTTCGAGTCTGGTTCCCAAAATTTTCATCTTTTGCCATCTCTAGTTAGGTCATCGGCTGGCCTTTCAGGTCAGGTCAATGACCCAAAAAGTCGGGAAAATCGGGACCTGTTAGAACGTCGTTAAGAGTGGCTACTGGCTGCTATGTTTTTTCGGGGTGCTGATCACGAATATCATGCTAGTTTTGATCACAGATGATGTCATTATGCATTTAGGCCAGGTCGGGTCAGGTCAGGTCAACCAGTAGGGGTCCTGCCGAGTATTCGTAGTAGGTGTCAACCGCCTCTGACAGCTTCGTAACATTTTACGAAGGCAACAAGACTACGTAAATGTTCATATGGTTGCTAAATTCGAATTCAGCTAAAAAAACTGACCTAGAAACATGTAAAACTCGAAAAAGTGAACCGAGGTCATCAAAGGTCAATGACCTGACCTGACCTTCAAGTGACCTTGACACCCACCCTTAATGCATGGGACCAACATCATTTCACATGTTTTGAACGCTTGAAACCCCGAAAAGACAGCAAACGCGCGGCTAATGCGAGCCGACATACGCCGAATCGCGATTCCGGCCAAACATGATCTCGGAAACGAGGTCACAGGTCAAAGGCCCTTTGGGTCAGGGTCATGAAATTTTCAGGGTCGGTGTAAAATTGATCAACTCTAGGGTACTGAAAGTTTCGTCGCGATCGGCCGCTTTTTACGGAGTTATTCGCGAAAAACCGAAGGGGGGGAGGGGTTGTTCAACCCCCCGCCCTATACGGGCGAGGTTTAGAATTCACTTCATATTATGACTAGTTTCAGTTGTGTCTTATTATTATATTCAGAAGACAAAAGTTGTAAAGATTTACAGTCACAGTTTTCAAATGACAAATAAGTTCAAGAAAATTGACAGATGGGCGCACCTTTCTGACATTGCCCTGCAGGACTTGGATCGCCTAGCAATGCTACCAAAGAACTCCGAAGTTCTGGTTTTAGGTGTATTGATATCCATTTGCTACATCCTTGACCACAGACACTAAACCATTTTCTCATCATTTCTCCACAATGCATCTTTTTACTTACTTATTAGCATTTCATTTTAATCGAGATGTGTTTTGGCGGAGTATCGGCGCGACCCCCTAGTGGCTGCCCGGGGGCTGAACGTGTGCCCGGCATGACAGGCGGGCGAGTGGCTGGGCGGCTACCTGGCCAACAGCCTGGCGGTGATGTCGGACGCCGCCCACCTGCTCAGCGACTTCGGCAGCTTCCTGCTCTCCATGTTCGCCATCTGGCTGTCACTGCGACGGCCGACGCGCCGCTGCACCTTCGGCTACTACCGCGCAGGTCAGTACGGCAGAGCTACCACTGCAGGCAGGGGTCAGTCCTTTGGCTACTACCGCGGAGGTCAGTATGGCTACTACTGTATGGGTCAGTCCTTTGGCTACTGCCGCACAGGTCAGCCCTTCCTCCGTATACTTTCGCGCAAGTCAGCCCGCTGGCTACCACCACACTGCTCAGTCCTTCATTTAGCAACTACATTGCTGGTCAAGCCCTTCGTTTCTACAAATTTTTAGGTTAGTTCAAAGTTTAGGTTATCAAGGGTCATCTAAGGTGATCTTCCCCTATTTTGACGTTCTTCGGCTAATACGTTCATAACTCGAGGTACAAATGTCCCGGGTAAAGCATAAGATTGCTTTTTTTTAAAGCCCCTCGCAATAGTGACTATCAGTCAAGCACCGCCAGAATGGATATTACTTTTTTTTACTACATTCGATTCGAGGCTAGTACGACATTGATATTACTAGCAGACTGTGTTCTTCTCGTTGAGTCCGGACTCCGGAGTCGTGTCAAAAATATTTGTAGGCTGATTGTAGGCTGATATGTTGTAGTAATCTTGGGCTGATCATTTAAAATTAAGTTGACAGTATGATGTTATATCAAGGTCATGACCTGACCGGAAAAAGCCGTATTGTTCATCGATCGCTCCGTATCGATGCATCATGTCACTTTCATCGGTCCCTGAAATTTGTAGAACAATCTAGCTGGGACGATAATTTATTTTCTTCTTGAGGTAGGTCCTTTGACGTGATGGGGCCTTGTGACCCGAAAGCGAGATTTTCGGAACATGTGCTGAGACGCGTCGTTAAATACGTCATCGGTTTTTAAACATTCGACAAAACTCTCAGGGACGTGAATCCCCTCGCTGTACGGCGAGGGGAAATGCAGGTTCCGGCTTGAGTTTTGACGTGTATTATCCACGAGTGAGCGGGAAGCGGTGTTACTTTGCTTTACGGAAAATCCTGATAATGAGCGGCCGGCCGGTCAGTCCAAGATGGTCCGACGGCCGTCCGTGGTCGCACTTCTGAGAGCTTTTGAGGGTCCTCGCCTCAGCAACCGCTTGGCCGATTGACGTGCGGTCTTTTTATGGGTAGCGTCATCCATTCTACCAAGCATCAAATGCTCGCTGACGTATTGATGCAGGATCGCCTGCAGCACACAGTTGGATTTAAAATGGCTTAACCTTGAAGGACTCCCTATCTCTGTTAATTCCTCACGTACCCCCACCTCGCTTCCACTGCCGTTTGAGACCGTAGTAATGTGTCCTGAAAAAGCATGCACGACTGTCGCTAAAGCGACACTATTCAAACCGGTTTAATGAACCCTGATCTATTAGCAGTGATGTACCATACCATGATAAAGTGGAGCCCAGTTCTTTATTCGTCTGTTGTCTGATGCGGTCGCCGACCGGTTCCGTGTTGCTCGGCAGAGTTTGGGCAGTGCTGGACGGAGGGACGGTAGGAAGTCACTGACCGGGGAGCCGTGCCACGCGGCGTGACGGTGGCGGGCCGTCTAGACCGGTATCGGGGGCTCTGTAAACAGGCTCTGTCGGGGCTGTAACAGGCCGAGTCTCTCGCGAACAGGATTATTGGCAGCTACTCGGCATTGGTACACTACCGATAAATATAAAATGTTTTATGTTGTATGCGCAGCTACTTTTGCCCGATCCAAAGCTTGGTAACAGGTAAGCTTTGAGCTTTCATAACAATAGAGCACCAAGATTCATGCAAGTATTCGTTGGAATATACTGCTATAGACGGATCGAAAACGAGCGGAGCGTATACTTTACAGAGCATCAGAGTGCTGTAGCTCTACAGCTGCCGGTGGAACGTATAGGGCCGTACCAGGTACCGCCTGCCTTGGCACTGTATCGTACCGAGCTGTATATATATCAATCACCGGTGCTACCGTGGACCCGGCATTCCTGCTCCTGCGGAAAAACCGCACCCGAGTGCCGACCGGTTGTCCTTACGGACACTTTCGAAAGCCCTCGGCGCACAGGAAAGGCCGCGTCGCGTCACGCAGTAGTGACCACGGCGCCGCCGTCAGTGTCGTTAAAACATGTGCGGCCACCCCACCCCCTCCCCGCCCTGGCAGCGGGGCTATCTGTCTGTAGGCTGGTTGGGTGCGTGCACACTGCACCCGGCTGCTAGGAACGCGGCAAACGTGCACAGATTCCCCAGCGGTGCGGTCTGAGCGCCTTCAATGTCAAACACCGACTCATGGGCCATGGCTATTATGATCATAAAGACGTTATAGGACGTTCTGGTTATCCCGACACCGGCTTCGCTAAGAAGCTTGCGGCCTGGGGCCTGACCGTCTGTATAAAAAATGACACCACTTACCTACGTACTTAGCGCATAGATTCTTGTTCCCTTTGCGCTTTGCACACATCCATTCACAATCTTCTCACTGACTCACTCTTTCACTTACTTTTTGAATCGCTTTTTCACTCACTCACTCATTCACTCACTCCCTCATTCACTCACTCCCTCATTCACTCACTCCCTCATTCACTCACCCGCCCACTCTCTCACACGCCTACTATGCTTATTTATTCACTCATTTCGCCACCCTTTCAAACGATACAGTGGTGACTGGTGCTTACGAGCCTTCAACCAAACTGACCTGACTGCTGTACATTTTCTTCCCTCAGTTGCTGACCATCAGTTCAGTGCTGCTGACTGTTCCGTATCTCTCCCTTCTCTCAAAGGCGCTGGGCGCCTTCCCCTCAGTGTCATTGACCGTCCCGTATCCCCTGTCACACAGAGGTGCTGAGCACCGCGATCTCGGTATTCACTGATGGTCCCCTGTCTCTTGCTGTTCATTGACCGTCCCCTCCCCTCCCCCTCTTACAGAGGTGCTGGGCGCCGTGGTCTCCGTGCTCACCATCTGGGTGGTGACGGCCGTGCTCGTCTACATGGCCGTCGAGCGGATGGCCCATGGACACTATGACATCGACGCCGACACGATGCTCGTCGTCTCCGGCATCGGTGTGCTCGTCAACATCATGTGAGTGGGGTTGGGGACCCGCCTGGCTAGAGTGGGTCGGTTATACCAGGTGGTTTTGCACTGCGACTGCAGGTGCATTTCGTGTGGTATAAGCCTAAAAATGGGTGACTTTGAATTACGTAACGTGATATACGAAACGGCCTAAACTGGTTTATGAAATGCTGGTTGTGGGCATTTTTGGCTATTAAATGCTAAAGCGGGCTGTAAGGTAAAGTTGAACCAAACACGTGGTACATCATTGGCATCTCTAAATGACGTTGCCTATCCGTTGGCTGCGGCAGTGAATGCTCGGTCTGCCACACAGAGTTTCTATTTTGCCGTAGTCTATTGAAACGCCCCAGGGTTTGCTGCCCTAGAGCAGCTGTCGGGAGTCGGTAGGTTGTTCGGCTGACAAGCTGAGAGGTGGTCCCTGGTGACGGCTCGGTCTCACCGAACCTCGTCCTTAAGATACCGTTCCTATCGGCCAGATAGGGTGATGACTGGGGGTTGTGGAATGCGTGCAGTAGACACGGTCGGGGGCCAGGATTGATAGCGATCAGACTTTTGATACCTTTATCTTGTTTCTTTATTTGATCATCAGCAGCTCTGTATGTGGATAGTGTTGTCGTACTCGAAATGTATTAATCGTTGAGGATGGCTGTTTTTACAGGACTTTTTGTGACATATCTTCTCCTTATTTGCTGCAAGACCGTTGTTTCTGTTGTTATTCACGGATTTTCTCCTTTTTTCCTCAAATCGCACGGGCCACAGTATAACATACTTATCTGCTATTGCCTATTGCCCTCTACATACTTTCGTTATTTGTTCCAAGTGCGCTGTTCTGACCGGCCGGGCCGTAATCACGGTCTCGGTCCAGCTACGCTGCAGCATTGGCATTCTAGCGCGCCCTACCTGACGCCGGCCGCCGCCGCTGTGTATCGTGTCCCATCTGACGCCGTCCGCCTCCGCCGCTGTGTATCGTGTCCCATCTGACGCCGTCCGCCTCCGCCGCTGTGTATCGTGTCCGATCTGACGCCGGCCTGCTGTGTCTACCCTGACGCCAACTGACGCCGCTATGGTTGGTGTATGTCTACCCTGACGCCAACTGACGCCGCTATGGTTGGTGTATGTCACTGGCGGTCGCAGCCGCTAGCAAAAGGGGGGGCCAAAGTCACACTCGCGGGACATAACATTTATCCGTCACCGGGAGGGGGGGGGGGGGTGATCGGCTAATTTTTACGTCCACGAGGTGCCGCGCAGTTGGCATTACTTATGCTTCATCCATCCGATTCTTGCGTGAAATTTTTAAGCTCAATTTAAGGCAAAATCACCAGTTCCATTTCCCGTCCCACGGTGCTTCCACCGGTCGGCCCACTGCACCATGACGACGGATCGGTGTAGCATAGGTATACTGGAAGGTCAGGCACGCGGATTCATGACCTTACCACTATAAAACAATTCGGAAAAGTACAGATACCTCTTGCTTTGAACAAGCATGTGAAACCCAGAGAGCATTTTCAGACTATGACATTTACTCATATAGGTAACATACCTAGTTGTGTGGCGGCGGGAGAGAGTAGGTACACCGACCGACCTCTGGAGACCCCCCACAGGTTCCGAGCTTTCAAAATTGGCATCTGAGGGCCGCGCGCGACTCCTGCGGGGCTTCGCAGCGGCTCTATTGTGGCTCACTCAACCTGCCTAGTCTTACTGCTAAAAAGACTGGCCCTGAGCCCTAAGGACTTAATCAGTCTCTGCCAGCCCCAGGACCCACACCGGCTCATGGGGTCCCCACGTCGAAATATGAGGGAATCTGCGCCGGACCATCAGGACGTAAAGTAATCTCGATCAGGACCAACGTAAGGCTGTGCCGGAGACTGCGTGAGCCCTCTGATCTTCAGAAACCCACCCATATATGTTTTCACGTAGAGGCCAGTTTAGGGCCCTCAGAGACCAGTACAGGGCCTGCAAACTACAAAGGCCAGTAGTTTGAGACAATCAGTGACCGAGTTGGGCTCTCAGAGGCTAATGTGGGTTATTACAGGCCAACATGGGCCCTCAGAGGTCAGCGTGGGGCCCTAAAAGACCGGCATGAGCCGTCGTTGGACCCCAGAGGCCAGCAGAGGGCCCTCAAAGGCCAAGATGGGCCCTCCTCAAATGCCAATGCAGGCCCTTAGAGGCCGGCATCGGGTCTTCAGCAGCCAGTGCGGGGCCCTCATTGGCACCTTAAGGTTCGTCTTGGGACACCACAGACAGAAATAAGGCCACCAGAGACCAGTGTGAGACCCTCAGACGCCGGTTGGGACCCCTGAGGCCTGTTAGGGGCCCTCATAGGCCAGATGTGGGGTCTCAGAGGTTGATGTAGGCTCTTAGCGGTCAACGTGGGCACTTGACCGCCACTGAAGTTCCCTCAGAGGTCAGTGTAGGACGCTCAAAGACCGGTGTGGGAGCTATATTAATAGCTGGGCGTGTTTTTTTTTTAGCTTCGTGACGATCGAATAATTGCCAGGGCCCCATACACCTATATGGGGCCCATTGGTTGTTTGAGGGGGGGGGGGGCAAATGATATGATGGCCCCCTTTATTAACCTTGGGGGGGGGCATGGCCCTGATGCCCCGGCCCCCCCGCGACCGCCACTGTGTACACATTACACACATGCCTCTGAGATTACATACTAGCTCATGCAAACTCTATGCAGGCCCCGGAGTTCCCACGCTAATCCTTAAGAAACCAAGCCGGCATACGGCGTCACCACCGGGCTTCTGAGGTGCACAGCACCAACCCATGAGGTCTTACTTTAGTGTCTTAGAGCCAATCTCCTTTAGCAGGGCCCACCCACCACTGCCGAAGAGGGTCTCATGCCAGCCATTGCTGGGCCTACGAGAGCCTCAAGTAAACCCACGCTGATATTCCATATAAGATCCGGCCATACTCGTGAACCGGTGCCAGCGACGCTGACCACCAAATTGACAGAATGCGAAACTGAGCCCTCATGAGTGAAATTTACGTCCTTTGATGGCGCAAGAAAGAAAATGAAACATACGAAAAGCTTTTCTAGGACTTTTGTTCGATCTGAAAGGTGGGGCCAAAAGATAGTATGGCCCCACCTTTCAGCACCAAAGGGGGGGGGGGGCCATGGCCCCCGTGGCCCCCCCCCCCCTGGGACCGCCAGTGGTGTATGTCTACCCTGACGCCAACTGACGCCGCTATGGTTGGTGTATGTCTACCCTGACGCCAACTGACGCCGCTATGGTTGGTGTATGTCTACCCTGACGCCGGACGCCGCCGCTGTGTATCGTGTCCCATCTGACGCCGGCCGCCGCCGCTGTCCGCAGAATGGGTGCCCTGCTGCACGGCCGGTGCCTGGGCTCGGGCCACGGTCACAGTCACGGCCTCAGCTCGAGTCACAGTCACAGTCACGGTCACAGTCACGGCGGCGAGCGATCGGCCACGGAGAACATTAACGTGCGCGCCGCCACCATCCACGTGCTGGGAGACCTGATCCAGAGCATCGGCGTACTGGTGGCCGCGCTCATCATCAAGTTCAAGGTGCGCAAGTTTTGTGTTTAACTTAACCTTTTCACTACTCGGCTGCTTGTTTTCAAATGGCTTCTGAAGTTGTCATCTTGTTTGCATCTTATTAAAAACGTGTTAATCGTCTAGTTTCTTAGTGAGCCTGTATTTCGATGTCGTCTGATACGCGTGCTTCTGCATCTGTGCTTGCAAGAGATTACTCATGTGTGACCGCTGAGCATCTTTTTGGATGTTCGAAAGTCTGTGTGAATACTTTGCCAGTGTAGGAGAATTAAGCCCATTATGAGTGCTTTATTAGTGTATGAACACCTCGATCTCCCGTTTCGTCAGTCTGCGGCATCCCGTTTTGTCCGTCTGTGACCCCCGTTTCCCCGTGTATGACAGTCCGCCCTCTGTTTCCTCCCCTACCGCCAGCCCGAGTACCGGATCGCGGACCCGATCTGCACGCTGCTGTTCTCCGCCATTGTGATGGCCACGACGGTCGGTGTGATGCGGGACGCCACACGGATACTGATGGAGAGCACCCCCGACTCAGTCCAGTACAGGTACGGCAGAATATAGCACAGACGTACAGTACAGGTACAGTACAGTACAGCACACGTCTAGTACAGGTACGGCACACTATAGCACAGACGTACAGCACAGTTACAGTACAGTACAGTACAGACTCAGTCCAATACAGGTACGAACCGACGGGACGGAGGGGGAGGGGGACTGCAGTGGACGGGTGCTCGGGCAATGGCCAGTGAACAATGCTGTGCGCATACTTGGTCAGATTAGCGATGATTACAACGGATATTACGATATTTAGCTTCCGGCTGCCGCCATCACAAACCTAGCTCTGCATGTTTAGTAAGGAAGTCGGCGGTATTGTATTCCGCCTGAGTATTTTTCAACCTGGCCACGTTATCTATACTCATTAGATTTTGGAATGTTTGAATTGGTAAATTTGGGAATATCATACGCAGTGTGCAAAAGCCCAGACGGCATTCGATCGAAATGTAAAGCTGGAGTGATACGGCCAGAGTTGTAAGGCACACTCATCAGTGCGCTGTCCTGGTGCCGGTGCTATACTTCTGTGGCCGTGGCTGGACACCGGTAATGATCCATGTAATGGCCGTTGGTAACACTATCGAGCAGTGTTCACTGGTAACCTTCGCTCTGTCAGTGATGAAACCACTGGTAACACTCCTAGCTGTCCGCCAGCTCCTGTTCTATGCCAACGCTCCCTGTCTGTCCTGCAGCGCGGTGCTCTGTGACCTGGAGGGTTTATGAACGTGATAACACTCCCTGACTGTTTGGCAGCTCGTTAGCAGCATTTTCTGTCTCGCCAGCTTGGTGCTAACGCTCCCTGTCTGTCCGGGCAGCGCGGTGCTCTGTGACCTTGAGGGAATTGAAGGTGTGGTGAACGTCCACGACCTCAACATCTGGTCGCTGAGCGTCGATCGGACCGCCATCACGGCGCACCTCACTAAAGGTGAGCTTCGCGGCGTGTCCAACCCCAGCCGTAACTGTGAGCGTGTGTGCTGTATGTGTCAGCTCAGCAGTCAGTGTAGGTAGCGTAAATTGGCGTACGCTCAGCTAGTATATTGTCTCACGGTGATATGACTATTCACGGATGTGTTTTATCCTGCTCGGTGCAGCTGAAACTGACCGTGTTCTGTCAGTGGTCGATCCGATAGTCCTCCCTTTGTTTTGACCCAGCTCAGGAATGACGCATGTGCTGTCTGCGGTTGGTCGAGTATGGGTGTGCGACTGCGTCTTTGACCCATCTCTGCAGCACTGACGTTTGGCTCGCTCCGTCAGAGTCGGGTGCCGACGGTGACCAGATCCTGCGCACCGCTCTGGCGCTGCTGCGGCTCCGACACGGCGTCCAAAATACCACCGTCCAGGTCGAGCCCTACGACGCCGCCATGGAGGCGTGCGAGGCGTGTCAGGGGCCTCCGCCGAACGGTGATGGACGCCGGTGAGACCCGTACGCCGCCGGTGAGCCGTGAGGTCGGTCCGCCCGCCGGCCACCGCACGAACCCCGCCAGTATGGACCGAGGCCAGGCGCGGCGCCCCACAGGTGCCGTCGCGGCCGCGGCCGCCAGCTTGCGTTCGTTTGTTGTACTCGTTTATTTGTTGCTACATGAGATACCTTAGTTATCCGAGTGGAGTGAGCACGCTGCCACCCGTCGGCCCGATGATATTCGTAATACGCAGTGCAACAAACCATTGGTTGAGGAGATTATTTTGGGGAAGGGATGTGGGACGAATGTTCTGAAATGTTAGCACTGTGCATGAGAAATTCCTTGACGTTTCTGCATCCGCGGAATGAGACCTGAAAGTTAACAACTTGCTCTTCTTTTAAGCTAACATAGCGCAGAGTGCCTTGAGTGCAATAAGAAGCCAATCGTACGTGTATTACGCCTAAATTGTAGTCGACGTAGTTTCATTCTCAACTTCAATGTCGGTGCCGCCTGATGGTTGTGGCAAACCCTTTACTCTATGTATATGGCCATTGTGAAAATATAACGTAACTTGTGTAAGTCCATGGATAGTAATACTGGAAACCTACACATTCATTTCATTGCTTAATATTCATATTTATTTTTGTTAAGTAGTTCTAGATATAAAAAAATGATGTGTAACGAGATATTGTGTTGTTCCTCTACATTCGATTCCACTGTAGAACGTGGCATAACATGCTGCTTTTCTTATGCATGGCTGTTTTTCGATTGATCAAACATTTCCTATTTACCCCCGGTAATAGGGCGGATTCGTTGCAAATCGTTAACGTGATTCCAGCGTGGGCCATGGTTTTCCAGGACGACTGCTGTGTGATGTCTGTGTCTGTGATGTGAAACCTCAATATCCGATATCCTATCATGACTCAGTACCCACCCAGAGTGAGTAATGTGGTGTTGTACGCACACCGCACGTCTGTGCCAGACGGTGTAGGTTCCGTGGCGTTCGGAGAGTGAGCTGAAAGCCTGTTGTGACCGCGATGCTTGGAGTTCCGGCCAGGGGTGCCCAGCTCGCCTCTGGACAACCACCGTAGGGTCCGCTAGTACCCGGGCTCCTGCGAGGTCGGCTCAGGCCGTTAGAGGTCGCGTCACTTAACTACGCGAATGGAGTGTGGTGCCGCACACTTGGGGTAGATGTGATCAATGTGCTAAACCATTAGACGTGAACAGAAATACTTAGTTTTATATATCGGTGCATGACACTGGCGGCTGACAGTTAAAACCCGCCTTTGGGTGTGTGATGTTTTGTACCATTCCCGAATACAAAGGCCATTTCGTGAGCTGTGTCCGTCCACTCCACCGACTGGGAATACAACATTTTGCTGCCGGGCGCATATAGCGATGCAGTCTCTTAGAACACTGGACGACTATTGGAAGAAGGGCGCGTCGATATGGATTTTAACCTGCCTCGTTCAATATTTTCGCCCTCCTTTGCTGTACCTTCATCGAGTGAATGCTAGGGCTGCGATGGTTCTCACGGAAAAGTGAGTATTACCGAGAGCTGATGAAGCCCGATGAAGTGGTGATCCTTTTCTGCACGGGCGGAAAGGTTCTTCAGCACAATGTTTTACGGAGGATCGGAAACGTTTTACGGAGGATCGGTATAAAAGTTCCATATAAAAGTTCTGAAGTTCCGCCACGTAGGCCCGATTTCTACTGACCGTCAGTTTCCGTTTGATACAATATTGTGGCATTTATAACATCCCATCTGACTGCAAACTACTCTGCTACAAAACTTTTGAAATGCACAGCACATCATTCTCATCCACGTTTGACGCAAATCAGATATTTAAGCACAACACAAACACAAACACTAGTTTAACACTAGCATTGGCTGCCGAAGCGGGGCATGCAATAGTACGAGACGATTGTTACACATTATTTGTCCCTTGTCCGTAAGACCGTGATCTCAAGATCTGTATGTGATTAAAGCAGCATCAACATTAATACCAGATGTAACTCGCTAGATAAAACGATGCTTCACATCTCATGCAATTATTTCCTTATAATTTGGTACCATATTTTAACCTTATGCACAATTTCAATAGATGGCTCGGCTGCACTCAACAGCTCTGTATATCTGGTGCTGCTACGACACAAAAGCTCAATATACGACGCCCGTAAGCCGCACTACCAGTCTGTCGATATGGCACATCCCCGCTGGTATCTCCTCACTGGGTTCTGAGAGCGTCCGTGGGCAGCGTCCACAGACACAGCACGGCTCCGGCCGTCGGAAGTCCGCCTGGCACTGATGGGAGAGTGGCGGCATCTAACGCGTCACTGCGTCTGCACGCGTCACTGCGTCTGCACGCGTCACTGCGTCTGCACGTGTCACTGCGTCTGCACCACGCACTGATGGCACTACCGCGTCACTGTACAGTACGCAGTACGCACTGAGCGCACCGCACTGTGTATCAGGTCAACAGCGGCAGGCCATTTGTCCACAGTGGCCACCATTGCACTCGGACGCACCTTCAGACAGCGAGTCCCCCGGTATCTCCACCGCGCGCCCCTCAAAAGTCCCAGGTGTTCTCCTGATTCAGCTGGAGTCCGGCCATGTCGGTGACCAGTCGGTCACGCACGATTTGCTCGCCTGAAACGCGGCAGTGAGGACGTCAGAAGAACTCAAATATGTTAGGCCTGGAAAACAGGGGCGAAGGTAGACACACATCTAATTCCAATAAGTGTTGTGCTTTTAATACGTCTAAACTAAAGCTTTCAACGGCGGTCTAAGAAAAAGGCACTGGTAGCACCGGTATGCATTCATACGCCAGAGCATGGCAAATACGATTCCTTTGTCGAATTGAAGAAATGCGGTACCACATCAGAATACGGACGGAAATTGGAGAGACGCATTTGACAAAAATGAACGACTTATTCAGCGACCCACGGTTGAGACAAAGTAACCAACATTGAGGGTCCTTTTGCCCACCTCACACCGCCTCCAGCACTGGCAGCGGTCAGTCTGGCGGGTCGGGCTCACCTTCCAGCAGCGTGGCCTCGCTGACCGGCACGTCCGGCCGCAGCAGGTGGCTGAGCGGCGGAGCGCGCCGGCACTGACGCACCAGGAACGGGTGCGTCAGCAGCTGGGCCGGCGTCGGCCGCCGCGACGGCTCCCGGTCCACGCACAGTCGCACGAACTGGTGGAACGCGTCCGAGAACCGGCGCCCGGGCGCGGCGCGCATCAGCCGCAGAGAGGTGTCTGCGCCGGACAGGGACACACGGTCATACGGAGGAGCGACCGGCCGGCCGGTCAGCCAGCAGCAGCACACCGCCCCCGCGACCCACCCCGGGCACTCGGCTGAGGAACGTGCTAGCGCCTAGACACAGTGTAATGGATAGTTCCGTCTCACAATAGGTATGACTGAAAGTAATGCACTAACAAGTGCACCCGAATCTTGAATTTCGACGTTCTACTGCAAACTAGCCCCGGACTAGATAGGCACCATAACCCCTGCACTCCTTCATGGCCACTTGACCTTGGCACACCGGCCATCGCAGCCTCTCTGGTCCATTGCCACCCGCCAGCCAATCCCGGTAAACCTCCCCTTCTGACTCAAACTATGCCGTTCGGCCATTTACTAATTCCCGACCGACCTCACGTCCCACTGACTGTCCTAGTTACTAGTTAGTCTGAACCGACAGCCCCACTCAACTTCCCCGTGTCGACCCCACTCGTCTCGAGCAGACCCCACCCGTCCCATCATCCACCTACCGTCCTCGTGCACGGCCGGGTCGTCTGTGTCGTTCTGCTCCTGGACGCGCTCAGCGTACCCGGCGTCGATGGTGGTGGCATCGAGCAGCACGGGCTCACCCTCGCCGGCCAGCTTTTCGTGCAGCATGGCGGCCGGCGGCATCTGGGCGAACGGCTCCAGGCCGTTAGCCAGCTCGCAGGCGGTGATACCCAGGCTGTAGACGTCGGAGGAGGCCGTGTAGCCGCGCAGGTCCTGTCGGCACGCCGTGAGGTGGTGAGCAGCTAGGCGTGCGGTAGGGGAAGGGGCCGACAGACGACAGTGAGACGCACGATGCAAGGGGAGTGGGCCGTGGGGACAATCAGACGCACATAATAAGCGATCAGGGTGTTGCAGTGATAATCGCAACTGGTACCCGGTACTGAGCCAACAAGGCGTGGGCTAAGTATCTCGGGACTCAGCCGGTATCTCTGTATAACTAGTGTATAAACCGATACTACACTGCCAGTTTATGAGACTTAGGCGAGACAGTAGGTATGTCTCCTGTGCCAGAGTCTCGTTGCTGAGCCAGTGTCTCTGTATCTGAGCTGTTGGTGGCACGTTACCTGTGTCAGTAGCTCTGTAAGTATCTCTGTGTATGAGCTGCCAGTAACTCACCTGAGCCAGTATCTCTGGACTGAGCCAGTATTTCGGGTCTGAGTCGGTATAGATGTGTCTCAGCGCCTCACCTGAGCCAGTATCTCTGGGCTGAGCCAGTTGAGGCCGTCGGCGGCCAGCTCGGGGAACTGGTGGATGCGCGCCAGCCGCCGGCCGTCCCGGTAGGAGCAGTAGCTGGAGCGCAGACCGGCCAGGTACGTGTCCCCGTTGGCGCCGATCAGGATGTGCGACGCCCGCACACTCCTGCGGATAGAGGGCACAGGGAATCGTCAGCGGTCACCAATACAGCCCGATACGGGCAGCGAGGGAAATTACAAAGACGATTTCATCGCTACAGTTTCCTGATAAAGTAATAACTAGTCCATGCACGTACCGTGCATGCCTCCTACAGTGTGGTGCCCGAGCTATAATCAGTAAACACCTCACCCCTCATTAGCGTATTATGTTAACCAGTAAAACGCCTTTCGGGCGAAGAACGAGCGAGCGAGATAGTGAGCCCTGCACGTGCGCAAGGGCGAGAAGGTACTTCCAACGGGCTTGTGCAAAGCACCCTTCTAACCGGTCGCTAGCGGTGTGCCAAATTTGAACGCAATCGGCCCAGAAGTTCCTGAGATCTGGAAGCGGCATTCTGCACGTGCACACGTGCAAGCGGGGTCCAAACTGACTTTTGCACGGCACCCTACTAACTGGTCCCCAACCGTGTACCAAATTTGAGCGCAATTGGCCTAGCCGTTCTCGAGATCTGGGAGCGCCCCTGCACGTGCGCACGTGCTGTAGCACCCAAACCTTAACACATGCAGATGAATTATCTGATGGAGACCTAACTGTGTACCGAGTTTCAATTCAATCGGCCCAACCGTTGTGCCGTTATTGAGGTTGCAATTTTGGGGGTTCTTAAAAAATGTCCAACTTTACCACGCGCCACGTGCGGTGGTTGGCAAGAACACATGGTGGCCATCACACCACATAACTTTTACGTCCAAGTGACATTCAGTAAAGAAGACCGCTTGTCAATCGGATGTCCCGTTCCTAAGATATTAGCTTTTGAAGAGCGTCCCCACGGCCGGCCGCTCATACTCAGGGTTTTCCCTTAATTCGGTATGAACTCGCTCGCTCGCTGCGCTCGCTCGCTCGTAACCAGCCAGTATATGTATTCACCGCCTTCTTCGATGCCAAATCCGCCTAGCGCTCACCGGTGTACGTATCCCTGCGAGTGGAGATAGCGGAGCGTGCGTCCGCCAACCACCAGTGCTGAGTGCATGTCTCCCTATGTTTCACCGGTGCATTATTACATGATTATTACAGCCCACCCAATCTCACCGGTGTATGTCTCCCTAGTCTCACCGACGCATGTCTCTCTAGTCTCACCAGTGTATGCCTCCCTGGTCCTCACCGGTGCACGTATCCCTGCGAGTGGAAGTAGTCGAGCGCGTTTCCCCTCACTGATATACTAGGGGAGAGTGGGGCACATTCGTGCATGGGGCACATTCGTTTTCAGCAGTTTATGGGAACACGAGTGACTGCACGAGCTCAAGGTAAATTATGGAAATATGTCTATCATTGCCGCCCTTCGTTCACCGTAGAAGACAACACTGTACCTGCTGTCATGCTTGATAAAAACGCAAATTTGTAATATTCGTGAGCTTTCCAAACTTTTCTCATATCATCCATTTTCGTGATCCTGACTCGGAAATGTGGTCCAGCTTTTCAAAATTGGGGGTGAAGAAGCCCACTCTATTCACGGAACTGCTGCAAACTTGTTTGTTGAAAAAGTGTCATTTTTCAAAAAGAAATTTTGAAATATATTACTAATAACGTTGTGGGGCAGGTTCGTGTACGCACTGCCTGGGGGCACATTCGTGCATATTTTTTTTTAGTTTTTGCGATTTATGACTTTATCTGTAGTAGGTTTCTCTAATGACGCTCGCCTGACTCAGTCTCGACTGCTTGCGACGTCGTGACGAGCAATTCACGCGAACTTGGCGAGCTCACGGAGGCCGGCAGTTGGCACATTCTTGTTGGCCAGCGCATTCTTTCTACATTTGTTGTGCAATGCATTCTTGTCGAAAGGAATCAAGTGAAATGGCCCTGGCCTCGGCCAGCAAGGGGAGTAGCGCCCCCTCGGCCCCAGCTTGACCTGTGCTTGCTTACGACTTGCTTTGATCGCTGGATGGACAGATGGTACGGCCCGACTTTTCTTGGTTTTCGTGGTTTTGTTTCTCTTGAGCGGTCTTTGTTTGCTTTTGCTTTGCTTCTCACCGGATGTCCGCGTTTCGTTCGATCACAGCCTTCTGATTCCTTTCCTACCCCTTTTTCGTTGTTTTTGCACCCGCAGGAACACAGCCGAGTTGGGCTAGTGTAAGGGGAGTGGCGTCCCCTCGGGTACCAGCCGGTTTTACTAGGCTAGGCGAGCCGACCCGTACCCCAGGACAACGGGATCCTGGAGGTTGAGCCCCCCACCGTGCGGAGCCAGTCGCGGTGGCTGGGCAACACGCCTCTTTGGCCCTGAGTTCTGTAAGGGCGGGACACTCAGTGGGGCGCCGCACTTGAGGAGCCATTCCCAGTCGTGATGCCGCCGGGGGTGGTGTCGGAGAGGTGTCGCCGGCGGGGTTCGGGCACTTGTGCTCGTCCTCCGTCGGTGGGACTGATCTGTCGCTGCCCCTGGCGGTGACTCGGCGAGGCGTCAAGGGAGGAGGCGGTATCCGACCGTGGGGGGTGGTGAGTCTCTCTCTCCCCCTCGGAAGGTGCCGCCAAGTCCCGTACAGTCAGCTCGGCCGTCCCAGGCCTTGTAGCGGCGCCGTTGCGGAGCGTCGGCGGCCGAGCTGGCGGAGACCAACTCTTTCACATGGATAACTTGACCGATCCCCCTTCCCCCCAGTCCAATCCCTCGGCCTCGGCCGATCCTCGCCCGTTGGCCTCGGCCGACAGGCGAACGGTGCTCGACAAAAGTCCACGATCTCCTAAGATCCTCATCTTCCGGAGTGCAGACAGGGAGCTGAGCTCTCTGTCGCCCTTCCAGCGGAAGGATGGCTGCGACCGGTTTGGTTCGATCGTTCGTTGTGACCGGATGCGTGATGGCGCGCTGGAGGTCGAATTCAGGAAAAGCGAGGAGGCGGCGAAAGCGTTGGACGCTACTCGCTTCGTATTCTCCGAGGGACGAGCATCCGGCCGGAGGCTCGTCTCCATCCCGCTTACAGTGGAGCCCCACCGCTCTAAGAACTCATCACGAGGGGTCATTAACTGTTTCGACCTGAGGGGAGTGAGCGACGAGGACATTGCGGACGGGCTCGCCGATTTCGGCGTGACAGCGGCTCGCCGCATCATGACGAAGAGAGGCACGGTCTCGACCAACAACATCATTCTGACGTTTGACTCCACTGACTTGCCGAGTGAGATTCGTGTGGGCTACGTGAAGGTTCGCGTGCGGCCTTTCGTCCCAGCGCCCATGCGCTGCTTCCGCTGCCAACGTTTCGGCCACACAAAGGACAACTGCCGAGGAAGACCCACGTGCTCCAAGTGTGCTTCGCAGGACCACACTGACGAAACCTGTGACTCGGAGACCCCCCGATGCGTCAACTGCGGAGAGGGGCAGACGCCGCACTCCGCGTATGATAGGTCTTGCCCTGCATACGTCAAGGAGAAAGAGATCATGACCATCAAGGCTACCAGAAATTTGTCTTTCAAAGAGGCCCGGGAGGTGTACAACCAGAGTCACCCGAAGACCTCGTATGCCCAGAAGGTGAGAGTCACAAACTCTACCGATGCCTCCCAGATGAGTGTAGCGCAGCTCGTGCAGCTTCTCAAACGATTCGGCCTCACCGTCGTAGCCACTGGTGACTCAGCGGACACCACGGCGCCTCGTGCGCCGCCGAGCAACACAGAGCAGGCTGCTCTAGAGTCAGTGTGGGGTCCACCCAGTCCCGCTCCAGCCGCGAACGGTGATGGAGACGGCTGGGCCGTCGTCCAGCGCCGACAGGGTGGTCGGCGCCCCCCGGCGCAGGGTAAGGCGCCACCCACCCCGCCCCGCCCCCGACCGCCCACGGCGGTGCAGGAGGCGCTGCGGCGGGGGGAGGAGGAGAGGAAGGCACGCGAGGCGAGGAGGGCTCGCCTCGTCCAGAAGGCCCTCGAGGCTAAGGAAGCCTCGTCTGCCGACTCCGCCTCCGGGAGTGCCAATGCGGCTGTTGCCGCTGACACCCCGGAGACACCTCAGGCGGGGACTCAGCCCATCATGGGTCCCCCGCCGCCTCCTCCACCTCCGCAGCGGCGGCCACCACCGCCGCTGCCAGAGACGCCTGTGTCGAGGACACAGGCCGCCGCCTCGACATCCCCGTCGGGGCGGCAACAGCCCTCCGCGGCTCCAGGGCGCCTCGCCAAGCGGCAGACGCCCCCGAGCTGGTCACCTTCGGAGGGCGACGCCCCCCGGTCGAAAAGGCCCCAGCCGGGCCCGAGCCATGCCCGATCTGCCTCTGCTGAAGGGAGGCTTCACCGAGAGGGCTCAGGGCACCCCCGTATCCGCTACGGGGGGAGCGCCTCCTCGGAGTTAGAGGACCTAGTCTAGTCCTTCAGTCTAGTCATTTCCTCTTTTATCCTTTTATCTTTTTCGCGCTATTGCGCTTTTTTACCAGGTGCATTTCTCTCGGTGCTTTTTACCTTTTTTGTGGTCAGTCAGGTATCTGTGTGCGCCTTTGCCTCATGTTATACGCGCCCTTTTTGCGCCTTTTTAACCACGCCTTTTATTCTACAGTGGAACTGTAGAGGCCTCCGGGCCAACTACCAGGACCTACAGTCTCTTATCCGTTGGCGCACACCCCTTGTTTTAGGTCTCCAGGAGACCAAGCTAGCGCCAAACGTTACCTTTGCCATCAAGGGTTACTCTGTTTTTAGAAGAGACTTAGACACCCCGACCATTGCCCATGGAGGTGTACTTTTGGCAGTGCACCACAGTGTGCCCACACGTCAGGTTCCGCTGCAGACTCCTCTGCAGGCGGTAGCCGCTAGAGTTGATTTCAACCACCGGGAGCTGACAGTTTGTTCTTTATACCTTCCACCAGGTATAGCGCTCCCGGTGGTTGAGCTGCATCGACTTGTCGATGAGCTTCCACCTCCGGTCCTGGTAGTCGGCGATTTTAATGCCCATAGCCTGGCGTGGGGATGCGACACGACTGGCACTCGTGGTCGACTTTTAGAATCTTTTATCCGCGATGAGGCGCTGTGTATTTTAAATACAGGACAGCGCACCCATTTTACAACACCCTCCGGTCAAACATCGGCTCTGGACCTGAGCTTAGTCAGTCCGCGGCTAGCTCAGCTTTTTACCTGGTCCGTCCATGACGACCCACTCGGGAGCGACCACTTCCCAGTGTGGCTGGAGCACCAGGAGTCCCCAGTGTCAGGCAACCGTCCACCTAGGTGGAATGTTCGGAAAGCCGACTGGGGCGAATTCCAGGCCGCTGTAGAGGCCTCTGTTTTATCCAGAGCCGACCCCTCTGTGATGTCTACAGAGGATTTTACATGTTTACTCATTGACTCCGCAAACGGGTGCATACCCAAGACGTCGAGTCAGCCTCGTCGTCCTCCGGTCCCGTGGTGGACCAAGGAATGCGGAGATGCGATTCGTGCCAGGAAGCGCGCTTTTAGAAAGTTTGACCGGAGTAGTACTACTGAGAACCTCATCGCTTTTAAGAGAGCGCGGGCTTTTGCCCGACGCGTTTTAAAGGAGGCAAAGGCTGTTTCATGGCGCACTTACGTAAGTTCCTTAAACCGTTTTACTCCTACGACCCAGATATGGGCACGCATGAAGCGCATTGAAGGCCGGTTCAGCTCTGTTCCGCTTCCGGTTTTAAGAGTGAACAACACGGACATATCTCACCCTTCAGACGTCGCAGAGACGATAGGCCGTGCACTCTATCAGCGCTGCCGAGGAGAGCCGTCCTCACGACCTGCACCAGCCGCCGTGGACTTCAGCACAGCTGAAAATTTGGTGTACAACGAGCCTTTCTCTATGGCTGAACTCACGTCTGCCATCAGCTCGTTGCGCAGCGTCTCAGAAGGTCCGGATGCAGTCCACAACGACATGCTCCGTCATCTACCCACAGTTGCCCTTGAGGCGCTGCTAGCAACCTTCAATTCGCTTTGGGAGACTGGCACCTTCCCTGAGACCTGGCGGGAAGCCATTATCATTCCTATCTTGAAGGCTGGCAAGTCGGGACATGACCCTCTCCATTATCGGCCCATCTCTCTCACATCATCGCTTTCAAAGCTGATGGAGAAGATGGTCAATGTGCGTTTTAGCTGGTTTCTGGAACATCACGGTGTTTTTACAAACGCCCAGTGCGGTTTTAGAAAGCACCGCAGCCCTGTTGACCACATTTTAGCCCTTGACACCGAGATACGCACCTGTTTTACTGAAAAGAAGCACCTTGGAGCACTGTTCTTTGATATTGAGGCGGCCTATGATACAGTCTTACGACACAGCATACTTTCCAAAGTATATAAGTACGGCATACGCGGCCGGATGGGCCTCTTTATCAAGAATTTTTTATCGGGTCGTCGGTTTAAAGTCCGAGTTGGCAGTGATTTCTCGAGCAGTTTTACCCAGGAGAACGGAGTTCCCCAGGGTGGGGTGCTTAGTGTGGCGTTGTTCGCGGTGGCAATCAATGACATCGTCGACGACCTCCCGGTTTCCATCGGGAGATCGCTTTTTGTCGACGATTTTGCCATCTGGTTTGCTGCTTCAAGCGCTCGACACGCGGCTAGACAGCTGCAGCTCGCCGTAACACGTTTGGAGAGGTGGAGCGGTAAGAATGGTCTTCGTTTTTCCACAGCGAAGACCGTGGCAATGCACTTTTGCCGCCGACGTTGTGACGACCTAGCTTTGGGAATCAAGCTCTACGGACAGGTGATTCCCACTCGGCCGGTGGCGAAGTTTCTTGGGATTTATTTTGACAGTCGCTTGACGTATAAGGAACATTTTAGAACGCTTCGGGAACGGTGTTTTAAATCCCTGAACGTTTTAAAATGTGTTGCTCGCACATCTTATGGGGCGGACCGCAGGACCCTTCTTCTCCTGTACCGATCGATAGTTCGGTCGAAGCTGGATTACGCTTCTTTTGTGTACGATTCAGCGAGCCAAACCAGCAAAAAGGTCCTCGACGCAGTCCATCATGCTGCAATCCGTGTCGCCACCGGAGCATTCCGCACCTCGCCCAGCAGCAGCCTTCTTGCTGAGGCGCACGAGCCGCCTCTATCCCTACGCCGCCAGATGCTTGGGATGCGCTATGCGCTGAAACTGCGTCAGTTCCCGACGCATCCGACGTATCCGTACGTCTTCTCCACCTACTACACTCGACTTGACAGAGCGCGACAATCGCTCTGCTTTGGAGCGCGCATGAGAGGTCTCTTCTCCGCAGCCAACATAGGTTTACGTGTCGTACGACGTAGCTGGGGTACGTCCTCTCCGCCTTGGAAACACGCAAAACCTCAAGTAGATCTCTCACTCTCCGAAGTTAAGAAGGATGACTTGCTGCCTTGTGAGGCGCGAGTCAGGGCCTTGCAACACATCGTCTCGTACGATGGTTTTAACACCGTTTTTACAGACGGATCAAAAACACCTGAGGGAGTGGGATGTGCTTTTATCGCAGGTCGCGATACCCGCTCATTCTCTCTACCTTCTTTTGCCTCGGTGTTTTCGTCTGAGCTAGTCGCCATCGAGAAGGCTCTGTGTTTTATCGAGGTGTCGGACGGCCTTTCTTACTTGATTTTATCGGACTCCCTAAGTAGCCTTTTGGCGTTACGGAGTTTTAATCCAGTTGACCCGATCGTTCAAGACATTTTAGCTCGACTTCAGTCAGTGGAACAATCGGGAAAATTTGTTCAGTTCTGCTGGATTCCCAGCCACGTCGGCATACACGGCAACGAGCTGGCAGATGCGGCCGCGAGGCGCGCGGCCGCCGCCTCCTGCACTCGACGTCTGCCATTGCCGGCGCGTGACCTTTATTCGGCTGTGCGATCTTTCATTCTCTCTGAGTGGCAGGCAGAGTGGAGCCTACGTGGAGGCGGAAAGCTCCGTGAGGTGAAGCCGACTTTGGAGCCATGGAGGTCTTGCTTGCAAGACAACCGGTCCAACGAGGTGATCTTGTGCAGGCTCCGAATCGGCCATACATATGCCACGCATGGCCACCTCCTCTGCGGAGACGAGCAGGCCATTTGCAACGGTTGTTCCGCGCCTCTTACCGTCGCTCACGTGCTCTTATCTTGTCCACTTCTAGAACCAGACCGGACGCGCTACCTCGGCCGCATCGCTCCGGCTACCACTGTCCGCCACCTGCTGGGTGACGAGTCACCCTGGGTCTTATCTGGCAACATCTTTTCCTTTATCCGCGCAGTCAAATTCAAAGCGATTTACTCGACCTGACCCAAATCCTCTCTAGTCTCCTTGTCTAGTCAGTTGTCTATTACGACGCTCTTGCGTTGTTTTATTTTACCCTGTCTTTTTTATAAAGTCTTTTACTTTCTAGTCTTGATATCTAGAAAGTTTCTTCTTTTGAAACACTTGTTTTACTAGCGCGACGTTATGGGCGCAAAATGACCTTTGCAGTCGACGCGCCCTAAAGCCCCAATAAACAAACAAACAAGAATCAAGTGAAATGACCCCCTGCCAATTTCCTTTGGTAAATTTCTGGTAATGCCCGGTAATTTCTCGAATTTTGCCGGGTGAACGGAAGTGCCCCATCTCTTGAACGAATGTGCCCCATAGGTGGGGCAGTTTCGTGCAAATGTTCAGAGTTAATAAAAGTCATTTTTCTAATGGAAGCAATAATTTTATAGGATAACTTTTAAAGAGGAAAACTATCTGCAATAGTTCCTTTCCATACTACAATCAACAATTTTGCCATTGCACTAACGGCACTAACCAAAGAACAGATATATGGGTTTATCCATTTTTTGCACGAATGTGCCCCACTCTCCCCTACAGCCCGCCTGGTCTCACCAGCATATGTCTCCCCACCCCTGACCGGTGTATCATTACAGTCCGAGCCCGGCTCTCACCGGTGCACGTATCCCTGCGAGTGGAGGTAGTCGAGCGCGCGTCCGCCTAGTCTCACCTATGGAGCCCTGACCGGAGTGTTATTACCGCTCGCCTGATCTTACCAGTGTATATTTCCCTAGCTCTTACCGGTGCACGTATCCCTGCGAGTGGAGATAGTCGAGCGCGCGCACCACGTCGCGCAGTATGAGCGCGATGGCGCGCTCGGGCAGTCCCTCGGTGAAGTGGGCGGCCAGCAGGTCCTTGGTGGAGCCGTAGCCGCACAGGGGCTCCACCATCCACAGCTCGGTGCCGCTGACGAAGGAGCTGAGGCAGGGCATCAGTCGGGCGTGCCGCAGCTGGCGCATCGCCTGACTCTCGTGCTGCAGACGGAGAGCGCGACGTGCGGTCAGAACTGGTCCCGGCAGAACGGAAAAATCCATCCAACATTGTGCGAGGGAGATGGCTCTAAAGATGCAATTCTGACTATACAAACAGCTTAATGAGAGCATCTTTCTACTTAATTGACTGTTACACATGCAACATATTAAAATCATCGTAAATCGTTATAAATGTCACACCTTCATTACCGTTTAGTTCGCGTAGACAAAAACACAATCAAATAAAAGTAAACACCGGTTAAAAACATACAACACGACAACGCACGATAAAGAACGATAACATTCTTCTCACCTGCAAGATGGACAGGACCTCAAAGCTGCACTTGTCGACATCGTACTTTTTGACGGCCACCAGGTTACCGGAGGCGGCGTGCCTGGCCAGCCACACTGAGCCGATGCCGTTGAAGCAGTGACCCACCATGGTGAGCACCCGGTACGCCGTCGGCGTCATCTCGTGGTTGTGCATGGCAGCCGTGTGTGGTGACCAGTAGACGGGCAAACTGTGGACAGCACCAAACAACTGTCAGCCATTATGCATGGTGTTTGGGGCCTAGTCTATTTGTGTGGGTATTACGTTTTATTTTTGCATCAGAAGTGAGGTTTAGTAATAGTGAGCTGAGCTTCAAAGGCAAAAGTCAGCGGAAGTTGCTGATCAGGTTCTGATCTCTACAACATATTGAGAACCAAACTCTGTGTTCGCAGCAGTGTTAAAGTTGAACTCATCTAAATATCCAACCAGCATTAACCCTCGCCCGCACATGTCATTTTCTCATCCTAGAACGCACATCGGGGGGGGGGGGGGTGCCGCCCCCCGCGCCATTTCGTTTCTGATGGAGATAGGGCTTCGCGGCAAAGACCAACATGTTCCTTGGGAAGAGACCTATCCAATGGTACCCAATTTTACCTCATTAGGTCAATCATTGACTTTCCAGGTCAGGTCAAACTAAAAATGTTGCTGTTTGGGGCCACCATCAGAATACCATGTGCTGTGCCCATCATATACTGATGATGCCATTTGTGGCTGTGGTCATTTCAGGCCATGTTCGGTCAAGGTCAATGACATGTTGATGTGTGTTTGTATGTCGGGGATGGTTGCTGGGTGGGTTTTCAGAGACTTTTCATAAACGGGTGGCAGCCTGGGCTGTGAGACACCTGGGCGGTGTTTCAAGGGACGCTGCTACCACGCTGCTATCAAATTGCGCGAGCTGACGTCACACTTGTGGTAGTGTTGGAGCAATGGGCCTGTTGATGTTTCCATGGAAACCCAATTTGACACGTGTAAAAGCAGCGTGCTGCTATCACCGGTGAAACAGGGCCCTGCTATAATAATACCAGTCTGTGGTGTGGCACGGAATCAAAGGCCTTCTGGAAATCACAGTAAATGACGTTTCCAATCAATCAAATTCACATAGTCTGTGCTATTCACATTTCACCGGTGAGAGGTCAAGAAATACCAGAAAGGAACTCAGAGATATATGGGATTTAGGGAAAACTAACTGAATGCTGAACAACTGGTGCCAATTGGCACCAGTTTATTTATATTTAACACCAGTTTGCAGAGGTGTTGAAACACTGTTAAGGTGAACGTTTCAGTCATAGGGAGAACAGGTCAAAGGTTACTTGCACGAGTATCATCACTTTCAGAAAAGGTGTAAAATTTAACGATGGAACTCAAACTGAGTTTAGTTAGTCATGGATAAGAGATAATCCATGATTTAGTCGCTATCCACTGCTTTTCTCAATTTTCTAAGAAACGAAGGCAAGGGGTCATGTCCGTTCAACTCCTCTGCTCTCAATTCAAAATGAAATATTCGACTTATTGAGAAAAAAAATTGACAAATAGCACTCATTCAAAACGTACAGGTCCGTACAAAAATAACCAACAATCAAACAAAATTCATAAATCAAAATGTGAAATTCGGCTTCGCACAACACGCCTGCGCGCCGCCGCCCGCGTTTCCAAGGGTTTTCACATTTGTAACAAATGCGCAATTCCCTGAATGTAGCATAAAATTTCTCATGATTAAGAATTGCGTCATAGGACCCCAACAACAATATTTTCAAAATATTTATTCAAAACTTTTATTTATTATTTTTTGATAATAAATCATCCTAGCAAAGCTAAAAGTATATGGTTACCACAAATAATGAATAGAATTCACAAAGTTAAATGAGAAAAAAACTTGAAAAGATTGCTTTACTCAGTACGTCATCAAAAATGTCTGTTTCGTAATGTAAGTAGATATGTAATTTCTGTGGTAATATTTTTGTGTTCCATCGAGCACTCAATATATTTTCGCCCTTTATCTTGTATGTTTTATGAAATTGATTTGTATGCTTATTGGAATGGACAATGGACCATTATGTCCTGTTCAAAGATTTTAATTACGATACTACAGCGTTGGTCACTTGACATTGTTATAAATGAGCATTTTCTGTCTTTGCTATCGTCCTAATGTACTTGTTCTGGTACATTGACATAGGTAGCTGTTTTCATTCAATATTGGAAATTATTGATCGAGGCTCGAAGAAAAAAATTATTCATTCCACTGGTTTTATGAATTTATACAAGACTTCTATATTTTGCTGTCGTAATTGACTTTTGTTTGTGTTGCCCTGCTTGCCGCTTGGCTACTTAGGTGCCTGCCCGTCTCTCTCTGTAACACTGCTTATGATTGTAACTTTAATCATCTTGCTTTTTCAGCCTGCGTGACTGCTGATATCAGTGCCCTGCTGATAGCTAGTTCACAAAAATGGCATCAGCTGGGGCACGTGTGCCACGACTGGTGCTGGTGGGCCTGGGTGCTCTTGGCGGTGGCTCGGCTGTGCTTCTGTTGAAGCCAGGGCAAAAGCCTGCCTTACCCACAGAGCCTGGCCGATCTGATGATGCCCTGCCTCTGGTTTCGTACAGTGCCCCAGACCGCTTCAGTGGTGGTATTGCTCAGCCCACCACTAAGTGGGACTCTAACTGGGACCAGCGTGCTCCAACCTCTCTGGTTGAGCCACCCAAGGGGTTGAGCGAGGCTGAGCTGAAGGATCATGCTCCATATCAGGAATCACTGAGCAAGGCCAAGGCCAAGGCACGACGCCACCTCATTCTGATTCGGCACGGCCAGTACCAGCTGGACGGTGCCACCGACGAGCAGCGCGTGCTGACCGAGCTGGGCCGGCAGCAGGCGGCGCTGACGGGCGCCCAGCTGCGCCGGCTGGGCCTGCCCTACACGGCCATCATCCGCTCGAGCATGTCGCGCGCGCTGGAGACCTCGGACATCATCCACCGGGAGCTGGCCGAGGCGGCGCCGCCCGTCTCCACCTCGGACCTGCTGCGCGAGGGCGCGCCGATCCCGCCGGAGCCGCGGCTGCGCCACTGGCAGCCGGGGCCGCGCCGGTTCTACGAGGACGGGCCGCGTATCGAGGCGGCGTTCCGGCGGTTCGTGCACCGCGCCGCGCCCGACCAGGAGCGTGACTCGTACGAGATCGTCGTGTGCCACGCCAACGTGATCCGCTACTTCGTGTGTCGGGCGCTGCAGCTGCCGCCCGAGGCGTGGCTGCGGTTCAGCCTGCGGCACGCCAGTCTCACTTGGCTCACCGTGCTGCCCAACGGCAGGGTCAAACTGGACTTCATGGGCGACGCCGGATTCATGCCGCCCGAGGCGATGACCACCACGTGACCGGTGGGCAGCAGTCCGGCGCGTTCGACCGCTCACGGCGGGACCCGGTCCGAGCCACGGACTTGGAGAAGCGGGTAGGCCGCAGCCGCACCGTACAGCCTCAGCGAACACCGTGGCGCAAGTGTACACAAAGACGGACGTTTGCTACTGCCTAACATGTATGGATGACAGGAATAGGATTTTGATTAAATTGTGAATGGGGAATGACGCTGTCTACCTTTCATACCACATAACTTGGCGTTTGGTGTCTTTCACGACCTCTTCACACGAACATTTCCTTATTTTGTCTGTCAGTGCATTGTTTGGCTTGATGGTGGTATGAATAATCAATCCTGTATCAATACATCTCTAAGGATTTTCTACAATTGTTCGTGGATTACGTTTGCTTGACAAATTTTCATATCAGTTCTACGTTCAAACACGTCATTTTGTTGCAGTGAGTCGTCTGGTCTCAGTGTTATGCGTTGGAAGAAGTAACGACAGTGGGACATCTAATAATTCATTCTCAAATCCGACGCTTATCACTTGCAACTTGAACTAGCCTACCAGTGTCAAGGATATTGTACCAGCTTTATCGAGTCATCATTTTCATTACCAGGGGGTACTCTGGTGCGATGCTCATGGACTCATGGTGCCGGGGTGCCTTGATCGATTTTGCTCTGAGTGACTCCGTTTGAAGTATAAACGCATTAGTGGTTCTCGAAGGCTCAAAGCTTTATCATTGGTAAGGATTTATATGACTCAGACCGATAGCCGTGTTTGCCATACTTCGGAGTTCAGTGATCAGTCATTGGTAGGTCCTCACAGCGTCGGTTCCCCAGATCATACAGCACCCTGTGACTATCGCTAGTGGTCTCACATTTGTCAACAAAGATCTTTTGAGGCCCTACACAGCATTTGTGCACTTTTATGACAGTAGTCAGTATTATGTGGTGGAGGTGGTGATTGGCTGAGTACCCAGCGGACCCGCCGTAAGTTAGGGCTGAAACAGACTCTTTCCGCGTTCAGGAAATCGCATGCGAGAGCCTATTCAAATACATTATAATTCTTCTAGCATCAATCGTATCCGGGAGGTGCGTGCGATTGATGCGAGCGTGCTTCCATGTAATTGAATAGGCTCTCGCATGCGATTTCCTGACTGCGGAAAGAGTCTGTTTCAGGCATTAGAATCCATGCCTCCAGCCGTTCGAGTGCCTGCTATCTGGGAAAGCACGCTGCAGGCGATGTTTGTTTGCTTGTTTATTTTGCTGGGTTAGACCTTTTATGTCCATTGAGATCAATTCAGAGCAGGGTTAGAAGGATTTTAAGAATAGGTAAGGGGGTTACGGGAAAGTTGCGAAGAGTGGAGAGAAGTGGGTAGCGGGTAGAGTGGCACTGGTTTGGGTAGTGGCGCTGGCTGCCGCTATCCTCCATACCGAGACAGAGCCCGTTTCGAGGAACAGACCACCATGCCTTGAAAAAGGTAATCCGAACCAAGGGCCAAGGGGTTTGACTTGCGGATTAGGATTTGTGAGTAGTGAGAAAAGATTGAGATTTCAGGGATGGCAAAGGAGTAAAGGACATAGCGCGCTTTGTGGAACTCCGCCCTAGTGGAGCATTGCCATTTGTTTTGTGTGGTCACTATAAGCATTTATTATCAATATTTATGTTGAATATGACCTTCTGTAAATGAAAATTTGTGAAATGGGTTACACCACAGTTTGCAAAACCATAATGAAGCTTGCATACTTATAAGTCCGGTGAAAATGCAGTGGTTTTGTAGCGTAAATTTGTGACCTTGATGTAAACAAACGAGCGCAACATTGCGGCCGGTGGGCGGTGAGAGGGTACCCTAAAATCTAAATGATAGTAAATGCGTACATATTGTGTGAATGTAATGGTTCATTGGATGCAAACGATCTTATTGGTTAACATTGGTTTTTGTAATGTTTTGGACTAAAAAGGTATATAGCGCACAGGGAGAGGGACCAACAGGGACCTAACGTTCTGCGCCGCAATTGGCAATGCTGCGTTATTTTTTATTCTTTACAGCTGTGGTCCTTGTTGGCATGCGAATATTTTAAGAAATGAAAATATTAAATAATACCATATCCAACTGAACCCCAAATCTACCTGATTCTGCTTGAAACTCTTTCAAAACTCTTGCGCACTTACCAGTATTCTCTTAGCAGGCGTTGCCCGTGCTGCCATGCCTAGTAGGGTTGGCTGTAGGTTTGTAGGTTGTAGGATGTAGGTTGTAGGTAGGGTTAGGTCAGGTTAGATTATGTTTTGATTTAACTGTGAAAAGACAGTTGCGGCGCAGAGCACGTGAGATGTAGATATGGCAGCAAGGGCGACGTCTGCCAAGAGAGTACCCACTTACCGAATCCATAAGGCTGGAATCTGAAAACGGTGCCTGGGGCGATTTGATCAAGGATCTTGAAATTTGCTTGACCTAATCTTGTGACAATTTGCCTGTAAAAGGCACCAGGTGGTGGAGAATATCCTAATAATCATTAACTAAAAATGCCCTCCGGCGCCCTGTTTTCAGATTCCACTGCCATAAGGTGATGATATTGAAGGGACACAACTTCAGTAGCGGCAGAACACCTTCAATTAACCCGCGCGGGGCTGGGGGGTAAATTTTACCCCCGCCCCTCTCGAATTTTTGCGATATCTCAAAAACGGCGGCGCGCAGCGCCGCCAAACTTTCAGTACCTTTTCTTACATCAATTTGACACGTTCCCTGAAAATTTGAGCGAAATCTGTCGGAAAGTTTTTGAGAAATTGACGTTTTAGTGACGTCATGTTCGTCATTTTCGCCTCAAAAACGGCAAAAGTTCAAACGCCGCTAACATCTTCATTTTTAAAGGAATCAAGACGTAACAAAAAGGTTATACGTAATTCTACTTTGTCTATCAAATGGCTATCTCGGTTTTTTGAAAATTTTGGATTTTGGCCTAAATTTTTTCAAAAAACTGACTTTTTTTGGAAAATCATTATAAAATCCAAAATTTTGAGTCTATCAAAAAACCGGAATATATGTCAGAGAAGTGGTCTATGTGCACCTACATACCAAATTTTAGAAGAATCGGTTCAAAAATGTGGGAGTTATTCAAAATTTCATGACGTCACGACACACAAATTTTTTGAAAAATGACTTTTTTTGGAAGTTCTAGACCTCGTACGGAAACAAAAATAGCACCATTCGATTCGCCGTGAAAAACTGCATCAGATAGACACCTTTTTAGGCCTTAACAACCAACTTCAAAATTTGACCTCACTTGACCTG